AGGACAAGGCCCAGCCACAGAGTTGACAGAGTTCAGGGGCGCGGCCAGAGGAGGACAAGAGGAGGACAAGGCCCAGCCACAGAGCCCAGCCACAGAGCTCAGCCACAGAGTTCAGGGGCGCGGCCAGTGAGTGTGGCCAGCTCTTTTCTTTCTAAGATAGAACCCCAACAGTAAACTGTTTGGGGAAACATATCTTTGGGCATGCTCAGCATGGCTCCGCTCTAGTTGGCGCCGTTCTTCAAATCTTGACAACTCGTTTTTGCTGTTTTCATGTAGTCTTGATTTCTAAGTTTCCTGTTCGTTTGCCTTCTGCTATTACAAGGAATGCTTCCAAGGAATGCTTTGAAACTTGGACCAACTTGGAAGATTAAAACGTCGACCTGCCAATGCTGACGAAGGAACCATCAGCTCAGTATCAGATTCGGCCCATCTCTCCACCTTGTGCACTGCAGGCATTCGCCTCCAGGCACCTATGAACGTCCTGGACCAGGTTATTCAAAGAAGCGGGAGAAGCGGATCGATCATTCAAAGCAAGTGTCCTTTCGGTTCCAAGTTGCATTTGGGGAAATCGAGAAGGGCAACGGTTCAAAACAGAGAGAGGGAGAGAGAGAGAGAGAGAGAGAGAAAGAGAGAGAGAGAGAGAGAAAGAGAGAGAGAGAGGGAGAGAGAGAGAGAGAGAGAAAGAGGGAGAGAGAGAGAGAGCGAAAACCACAATAGTTTGTCAAAAGGCTGCAAAGGTGGTTCAATTCGTCAAGGTTTTCGAGATGCTGGGCCGAACAGCACACGGTGTGCACTATTTGGACATCTTGACTCTTGGGCATCCGTACGTTGAACATGCCACCCCACATGCCACTGCCAGCGCCGCGCCCAAGCGTGCTCCCGAGGTCCGCGGCATGGATCTTGGTGCTAACATCTTGGAAGTCCGAGGGTCAGTCCACAAGTTGTTCTCTGTTGAGTTGGCATTCAGGGAAGCAGAATTCGAACTGTTTGTGTACCCACTTCATTCGCACACGGAGTCTGGTTCTGACACCACCTTGCAATGCTGTGCTGAATTAATCATCACAGTAATTGCCCACTGTTGGACCAAAAATATAGAAGTCAAAGTCGAATCCTGCCAGCTGGCCCCAAAACGACAATCGGCAACAAGGCAGCATCTTGAATCACGGCGCTTGAATCAGCATCTTGATACAGCAATGGCCGGCCAGCACAACACACTCAACCTATAAGCTCATACCTACCCGAATGAGCCATGCAAAAGCCATAAGCATCCAAAAGAGCATCCACTTCTATTTCACTTTCATACATCTGAACAGCGATGGCCTCAACCTAGTAGCGATGTCCTCCAACCTAGTAGCGGAAGTTGGATTTCAAGCAGTGCCATATTTGCTGCTATTAGTGTTTATCAGTGCTGTTCAGGTTATATCACCTCCCAAGTCGCAACTTGGAGGCCAAGCAGCGAGTGCCCGGCTATGGGCTCCAAGGCTCCGGCCACTTTGGCGGGCTAGCGGCTAGCAATCTTGAGCCCAACAGCTACACAGTCAGACAGGGGGAAATCTGGAGACATGTTTCAGGGGACTGAGTCCAAAGATATACACTCTCGGAACAAACAGAAAGAACATCCAAAAGCAAAGCGGAACATGACATACTTAAAATATACTTAAGAGACATACTACGATTTGACTCTCCTTAGCATTCCAGATCGTAGAAAAGTCACTGCAAACTACACCAGATGCAAACACCTTCTGCCATGTGCGTCGTCTTTGCACAATCAAAATAACCAACAGAAATGAATTCACTTGGAGTATTCCCACTCTCCACGAGCGATTTGGGATACTGGTTGGACGCCATGTGCAATGTCGTGATCTGGTTGTCGTTTTGAGAGGTGCATTGTAATCATTGTAGTGATGTGGCTGGGTCAAGACCCTAGGATCCTGGTTGACCCCACCATCATGAGCAAATGGTAGGACTACCCGAGAGGTCAACTTACGTATTTTGATTTGAGGTTCCTCGGTTGCGGATGGTACAAGTCACCACCCCTTTGTAGCCTCTTCAAGATTTGGTGGGATACCAAAAGGTTTAGAGGGGTGTTGTGGTGCTGATAGGCGTGTGATGTGTGATGTGGGGTGAGCGATGGGAAGTGCGCAGTACTTCATGTGGTGACGAAGGACGTGACGTGATGACGTGATGTCTGAGGATGTGCAATGCGCGGTGTAGTGAAGTGTGCAGCCTGATCTGTCTGGTGATTTGTCGAACTGTTGATTTGCCGGTCATGCGAGTATGATGCTAGGCAATGGTCTCAAGGTTGTCGCATAACATGAGAACCTAGAGGATACAAAGACCCAACCTTACGAACGGACAACAAAAGGTCAGTTTTTGGGATTGAGCAACGCAAGCGTCTTGTCTTGAATTGCTTGTTAAATTCATGTTGGCTTGCTTATTTTCCTGCTGCGGGCAGAAATTGGCAAGGCAATCGGCTCAGCAGCACTTTCGCTGATGACCTGCAAAGGCCCGAACAAATGGTCAACTCATGAAACTCTGAAGCCAGACATACTATACCGCTGCTCAAGCAATCCCAACATCGTTACAATGTAGCACAGACCTACCGGCTGAAAGCGATGTGCGAAAGCCATACAACAGCTGGGAGCCAACTCGTGCACCTTATGTCCCAGGCAAAGCTCCAAGCGATGAGACAGTTGAGCTAGAGGCAGGGAACCCCGTGGTGGCATTGCACTCCTGACGACGCCACTGTGGAAAACAGAAAGGTAAGCTTTGGTATCACCACCGTAGCCTCAAAGGACTTCTACGCTTCCATGTGTAAGTAAGTACTCTCAGCTGTAAGCTATCTGTCCCACAATTGCTAACATCATTGCCTAATGACCTGAAAAGAAGCTGGATTCGGGTCCGATTAAATGATTTGGACGGATGACCCCACACACTTGCTGGCAAATCTGCTAAGACGAGCAAGTCATTGCCCCCTATGATTCAATGAATGGGTTTAAGGGAAATCTACGAACGAAACCATAGTTTTCACCCCCAAAACTATGGGTTTCCTGCAGATTTTCCCTTAAACAAATTCATTGAATGATTGGATTGTGGGCCATCGGCAAGGCCAGTTGTTCCATACCAACCTGCTTTGATGAGCCTTTGGAGGTGGGAGTTTGAGACAATGAAGACAAACTTCGAGCTTGCTGATCATGAAAAATGACCACAACTATCCCCCGTAATCCAGTCCTGTTACTTAGTGAATCAAAGGGAGTCCAAGAGCCAAGGTCAACTGGACACCCTTTCTGGCTGCTGAAGTCAACACCATTCCAATGCTGCTACCATGTACAAGGGCAGTACCATCTGGCATGCCGATGCGTTTGAGTGCCAGCCAAGGAGAGAAGTGTCAAATTGTGGAGTCTGAACAGCAGGCCTCTCTGGCAGTCTCTGGATACCTTCAGCTTGGCAACCTGATGAAGCTCAGCTCCTTTGAGGCGTTGCCAAGCTTTCTGGTTGAGTAAGGACCTAGGACATCTCAGGGGCACAGCATGACAACAACAACAATGAACGAATCAACACATTCACCGTCAATTAAATTGCCTCTCTGCAGCGTCTTCAGACTCATAGAAAACAATGCGCACACACACACAAAAGTCCCACACAGAATGCTTGATTTACTCATGCTCCCTGTTCTCTAAGTTGTTGCCAAGATCATCTACCTTGAAGGGTTGATTCAAGGAGGCAAGAATCTTGGTGGTTTTGACTTCGAAAACTATTGGCTTGTCCACAGGCTTTGCATCAGCTGAGGTGCCCCAGACAACCAAAACTATCAGAGTAGAGAGGAACAAATCCAATCTTTTAGTCACTTGATTGTGCCAGTGATGTACCCCAAAAAGATCAAAAGCCTCACACAAGGCCTGTGCTAGCAAATCGAAAAAAGCGGTCTCTTGTGCCCCCCCAAACCAAGTCACTTTGAAGTGAAACTTGTTGTTTCTTACATTCCTAATGATTCACAAATCAAGGGCGCAAGCTTTTGAATGGTTTTGAGTCCATCAAACACATTCCACACTATGTCCACAGCGGTCAACCGTTCACTTGCGACGACACTTTTCAGCTCACTTGCGACGACACTCAGCACAACTTTTTTGTAGATCACTTGCGATGACAACAGCATCACCACCATCATGGGTGGGGTGGGGTGGGGTGGGATCTGACGGAGTGACTGGCCCATGGCGACATCATCACATCTGACATCGCCCACTCACAAAGCATCACCAGCATCATCATCATGGTGGGGTGGGATGTGCTACGAGAAAATCGGTGTCACAAGCGACGCGAAAATCGGCGTCACGAGCGAACGCCTCACCCCACAGCAATGTCTCTAAGCACCCATGCTGCTGAGGAAGGGCGGAGGGCCACTGCTTCGGCGTTAACTCTTGCTGCGGTTTTTGCACCTTTTGTGTCAGCGTGACAAAGCCTCCAGCTGGCACCATGGTCAAACAACATGCAAACAACATGCAAACAAAAGCACACCCTTCTTGAAACTTTCAAAGTGTCTTAGAATTTCCTAGAAGAGTATGTCTCTCACTTAGTTTTCAACGCTGCCAAACACGACCACCGTGCTTTCACTGCTCATCCTATTCCAAAGTTCATAATATTCTGCTCACCCGCCCCAGAAAAGTTGTAAACTCTGGACGATTCCTTCGGATCTGGGCCTGAGATCTTTTGCGGCCCAGCGAGCGGTCATTTTCTGGCACGAACGCAAAAGGATCACACAAAGTTCAACATTGTTCAGGAATTGGAGGATTTATCGATGATTGAGGATACTCGAGCAGTGGAATCTAAATGATGAAGGACTGCTTGAGGCTTGTACCAAAGCACCCACCATGCCATTATGCCTTCCGCTCGATGCTTTCGCGAAGTTCCTGCAGTACTTTTCCAACATGCTCAAACACTCTTTCTTGAAAGTTAAAGAATCTTGTTTCTCTTGCGGCTCAATCCTTGTCTTCAGAAGACTCGGAGCATGTATGCGCTGGTTGAACAAGAACTCCATTCCATCTTGCCCAAAAGACAGGTTCTAAAGTAGAGTCCTGCTCCACGCCCACTGGCAACTGCACACCCTCCTGCAAATTGTGAAGTGGACAGTGCCATGCTCAGTGGGGAATGCAAAACGGCACTGGCAAGTGAAAGGCATGGCGTCCTAGCGTCGGGGGATCGTGGCGTCGTGGCGTGACGGATTCTCATGATGGTCATGATGTCACGACGACTGCTTCGGCAATGCTTTGGCATGCCCAACACTTTCAAAGTCTTGGCCAATCTGAAGACTCGACGTTCTAGTTTTCTGCGTCTGCAGTGAGGTATGTTACTCCAGCCAACGTGCTTCGGTGCTTCACTTAGGTCTTGTTTGGGGTGCCGGGAGATTTTGACCAACCTTCGGCATTTCGGGTAATCATGTCGAGTGACCAGGTTTTGATGTTTTTGAACTAACCATTCTTCGCGTGCGGCCACCATTTATGCACGTCGACAGGACGGCCAGGTGTGAAGCTTCGAGCACAGGTTGGAATAGTGTCTTGATTTATGGAGGCACATCAGAGATCAGAGAATGCTTCTTCAAAGCTGTAGGCCCAGACAGGGTTGGCTTCAAGAGTTTGAAGGGAGGCGAGAAAGGACCCTTGCTCTCTAAAATGGTAGCAAGCAAACTTGGAAAGCCAACTTTGCGCCAATATATATATATATAATAGATAAATACATAAATATATATAAAAAAGTATATATATATTTATAGCGATGTTTCCACGGGCATGCACGCACCGACTGACTTGTCAAAGCTGCAGAACTACGGAGCAGAATCGCTAAGCTTTCAGCCGGTCTTATTTGCTGGGAAGATTTGCGGGGATTGCTCTTTGGGAGCCCCACTTGGTTCACTTCTTTTGGTGTAACGTTGGTTTGCTGCTTTCTTTTGATTTCCCACGCTGGTTTCACTGTGGAGAACAAAGGGTAAGGGATCAAAATAAAAATAGAATCAAAAAAAAATATTCAACGGGGATCAATAAAAAACTAAAAAGGTAATCACAAAAAAATATTCTAGCCCACTGAGGATGGTTGGGGTAGTAGTAGTAGCAGTAGCAGTAGCAGTCAGCAGCAGCAGCAGCACCAGCAGCAGCAGCAGCAGCAGGAGGAGGAGGAGGAGTGGTAGTAGTAGTGGTAGCAGTAGCAGTAGTCACGGCGTTCACACGAAGTTAGGCCCTACATGGCGTTGTCAGAGCGCTCGGAGACAGAAGGACTAGGATACCAGGGGACCAGCGGACCACAGGACCAAAGGACCAGGAGACCGGAGGACTACGGGACCAGTGGACTCAAGGACCAAGGGACCAGGGGACCAAAGGACCAGTGGACCAAGGGACCACATTACCAGAGGACACGCAGAAGGCCAGGAGAGCAGCAGAAAAGGCCTATCAAGGATTTTTTTTTTTTGATTCGTTGTTTTTTTTTTGATCCTGTTTTTATTTTTTTTGATGCTCTTTTTATTATTTTTTGATACCTATGCCATTAACCCATTTGGGTATACGTCCTGACTATGACTATGACTGATTATGTGTATGTATACGTATATGTATATGGTAGCCCCCCATATGTATACATATATATATATATGACATATATATATATATGTATACACATTGTACTGCACATCAAGAGATGCAAGGAAAACAAGAAAGGTCAAGACAGGTCAAGAAAGACCCTCAAGGACCTTCACTTTCCTGGAGGTTACAGGACTACGAAAACCAGTCCTGCCATTCACAGGACGACGTTCTGTCAAAATAGCACGTCAAGGTCAGTCCTGCAGCTTTGCTGGAGCCCTCTCTCGAGGGGTCACTCGGCGCTTTGCATCCAGCCATGGTGGGGTGATGATCATGGCATCATGCGCCGACAAAAGATTCAGAACTCTCGCGCTACGTAGTGTTGGGCTGTATCTTCGGACATGATGCTTGCCGCCAATTGCAGCTTTGCCCTTGCCAGTTCTCCTGCTGAGGCGAGCCCAAACACTGTACATAAATCCTTGGAAGGCGGCCCTTCCTGAAAGACTGTGCGACCTGAGACGTCTACAAATCATGTGTGCACTCTCTATCGAACAGTCTCATTGTGAGACTTATGCAATTTCCATGTTATGTTCTCCTCCCGCCAAGAGTTTAAGGTTAAACTTGCCACTGACGGAGTCTAAAAGTCGAAGCAAAGATTAGCAAAACAGCGCCCTTGTTAGCGTTTAGCTACTAGCGATGCTCTTGTTACTAGTAGCTACTAGCATAATGCAGGGAAGGTTTCAACAACAAGCCACACTACTCTCGCCATGCATCTTTTTGGTCGTCTGCGCAAATTTTGGCAAACAGCACGATGGGTTGTGCGAGCAAGCTCTCCCCTCATTTGAGGTTGCAGGTAGAAGAAAACTTCAGAACTTAGAACTATCTGCTAACTAGCTGTTGCAGGTCATGCCGCCATCAGTGGCTGAGCGGAGCCGGTTGGCTGAAGCAAAGATCAAGATTCTGCGCAATCTCCAGAAGCTAGACCCAGCAGGTTGATCAAGGTCTAGCCAATTGTTGCATACTCAATCACCTACCCAAACGCTTGCATACAAGCACGTCTTTCTACGCTGGGTGGAGCCCTGTCAACTACATGTACATCTGATTGGTCGACAAAAAGCTTGATATTTCCGCTATCTGCAGGATCTCTTTGGCTCGCAAACTTCTTATGCACAGGAAGTACCCAAGATTTGCATCTGCGAAGACGCGGTAAAAGGCAAGGCCACTAAAAAGAATCAAAATTTTGCTTGCATAACTTACAGTTTCGCGCTGTTCCACAGAGCAAATCCTTGAGACAAACAAAGGTCTTGACTTAAGCAGTTAGTTTCAATTTCATCCTGTTCACTATGCACCACTGCGTTCGGCTAATCCTGCCGCGCAAAGCCAAGTCGAACCGTTTCCATCCGAATCCAAGGTGTTAAACCCTGGCGAGTCATGTGCAGTGGGCTTTGAATTGAAAAGGACATATATAAAGGCAATAAATATGCTACCAGTTCCTGCAGGGTCTGTTACCTCCTGACAAGGGGAATAGCTGTTCTCATCAACTGAGTGCAGTGAATTGACACCTAGCTTTCTCTCTTTCAGTTCAGCTTCGATGTCGTGCATGTCTTGCCATTGTTGCTCTCGTTATTGTGACCTGTCATTGCTGTCGCTTGTGCGGCTTGTGACGCATTTGTAATTGTTTCTTATCTGTCGTTATCTTTGTCATTGCTGTTGTCATTGGGGCGAGTGGTTGCAGTTGTTACTCTATTTGGCTTGGCACTGCTGTTGCCATAGTTTGTCAATGAAGTTGTTGAAGCGTAGGTCTCTTGCTATCTTTGTGACTGCTCCTTGTTGCTTCTGCTGCTGCTTCTCAGCGAGGCCATCCTTGCTTTTGGCGTTGCTGTTGTTGTCCTTGTCAGTGTTGTTATCAGTGTTGCCATTCTGATCAGTGACCAGCCGTTGCCGCTTCATATTGCAGTTGTCAACATGGAATATGGAACAGCTGCATGATTGCGGCATGTCATTGACATCATCAGTGCTGTCGGTTGTTGTTGTCACTGCAAAACTTGTTGCTGTTGCAAGTGTGGTTGGTCATTGATGTTGCCATTGAGTCTTGGCATTGATGCATTATGGCTAAGCTTCTCATTGCTGCCGTCGTTGAGAGTTCGCCTTGCTATTCGTCGCTGTGGTTTGACATTGTTCTTGTCACTGCCGCAGTTGTCATCACGTGTTTTTGCTGCTGTGATTGTGATTCATAATCCCAATTGTTGCGGTACCTGGCTATACCAAGGGGCTGCGGGCTCCTGTGTCGGGCCACTAGGTGAAGACACGCCTACTGGTCAAGCCCAGCTGGAAAACCAAGCCCTTTGCAAAACCTTTTGTCGGAACTTGTGGAGTGAAAAATAGATTCCGAAACACACGAGGGAAGAGCCTCTTCTGCCATCTTCAGCTTCTTTTTAATGCCCTGGGCGGAGACATCCTGACTCACGATATCTCAAGGTCTCAAGAGATCTAAGGCTGTTCAAAACAACAGGAAAGCTGCAAGCCTATAATTTGAACACCGTTTTTACGATGTGCTAGTGCTTGCAACAGTGTTTTTTGAGTAGTCTACCGTTTCGAACATAACACATCAAAACTTGGCTTTGATCGTGTCTTCTTGTCATTACTATTTTTGTTGTTTTGAACACATTGTCTTGTGATGCCGGACTCATTACTTTGTGCATGAAAGATCTTGGGCAACGGTTGCTTGACGGTGCAGCCCGCTGCCGAGTCCTTCTGGAAGGCATCCTGACAGACTTCTCGTCTCGAGATACCCAGGTGTGTCAAAGTAAATCTTTCTTGAGCTTCTTCCAGTCCATTGAAGCATTGAGGACTTGCTCAATGCTACTGTACACATTGAGCCAAAACTCCTGTCATAAACCCAGGAGCACCCATGAATAGCCTACAGTAATGCAAATGGCCAGCTCCCAAAGAACAAGCACCCAGGCATGACAACCAACGTTGCACAAACTGATCCTTTTTACCAATCCATTACACACCGTTTTTGCGAAAGGGCGCTTGATCCCATTCCGGAAACTGCCGAGCTGCATCCAAAGCTTGGTACCTAGGTGGCAACACCAGGGGAGTAACAATGTGAAGCCCGGGTGCTTCATGGTGTTTCCAAACACAGGATTTCTTTGGCCTGTCATGCCATGTTCAGTTTCTGGGTCGCAAAGATTCCAAATACATGCATGTGCCATGCACTTGGTAAAGTTGCTGAAGTGGTTGCCCCTTTCAGAAGGCACTTTTACCAAAACGCCCTTGTCGATCCTCTTTGCACAGTTGTCCTTCAAACAAATGGGAAACAACTTACTGGATGCAATGCCTTGTTGGTCTGACAAGCACCTTGCAAGGCACCCTGCCCTATTTTCTCAAATCCATCATCCGAGTGGCAAAGAGCGAAAGCGGGGCTCCGAAGAGTTGTTGGCGAACTGGAAAAGAGGGTCCACAACCCCACACCTTGATCGAAGAATAGGCAGATTTCCACGTTGCAAAGACGGCTGGATGGTGCCCGAAACATACGAGCAACAAACTCAAAAAACAAATTGTTCCACTTGCCGTTAGGAGATGCCATCCCTCCAAGAACAGCTGCCTCAGGAACTTCTCCAAGCGGGTGTTGAAGGCAACAAAGGGATTGGGCTCCTGTGGTCAACAAAGGCACCGCACGTGTCACAGTCTCAGATTTTGGCAAGCTGCCCTAACCTGGATCTCCGCCATTGATGTAATTTCCCTTTGCTTTACTACATCTTTGCATCCAGCAGCTTACTTGCTACTAGTAGGTACTTCAGCAACTAAGCTACCTATCCGGCCTATCCCGCCATCATGTTTTGCCTGACCCCTTTCCCATGACATGATACACATGTTGCCATAAAACCTTAAGTTTCCGTAAAAATCTAGGAACAAGAAGCTACTAGGGGCTCTTCTTCAGTGCGAGCGCTTCTTGAAGGAAGCTTCCCCCGCCGCCTTTAGGGCGCCGGGGGGAGCTTCCTTGAAGAAGCGCGAGCTATCCTGCGTCCATACTAGTAGCTTAAGTAAGCTACTAGCTACCTAGCTACTAGCTACCTCCAGCTACTACCTCTACGGCCTACCTCCCCTTTGAAAGAAACGGCTTGCCCATGCAAACCAATGCAAGAATCACACCGAGTGACTGTCAGGAACACAGGCGAAACTAGATGCGTGACAAAGAACAAAAACCAGCTGATCATCAAATGGTTACAGTTTGTAACCAGCACTTTTGGGGAACATGTTGAATTCTATGCCTTGGTACCTGAGTCCTATCTCATCCTGCTCCACCTGTATTTGGCCAAGGGTGCATCCACAATGACCTGGGACTTGACTTAATCTACCTATCTCTCCGTCAATGCTTTGTGATCTGAACCCAGTATATCAAGATTCGCCAGCCCAGCATTCGGTGAGTTGGACTTCCTTGAAGAGGGTCAGGATGATCAAGCCATCCAAGAATTCCTGCATCAACTCTACATTTCAAGGTCCTTTGTAACATTGTAGGGGTTGAGGCCAGAGGATGCTTCCCGCTGATGGTTCACAGGGTAACAGGAACCAAACGCGAACTCATTTCATGTTCCATCACGTTTATGCGGCTTCTGCCATAAGTGTGGGTGTAAGCACTGGGTGACAAGTAGTTTGGAGGTAAAAGGGGTGAACATTTACCTTTTTTGTGTTTATGTTCATGTTTTGGGGGGGGGGGGGGGGGACTAACTGGCGTCAGCGGCAGTTATGCACAAACGAGGCTGCGGAAACTGCATCTGTGCGAATTGTCCATTTCTCGGAAAACCAGCTGCATTTTGGAATGGTTCGTTCATGCTCTAATTTTTACCATCGGGTGGTCGACGAAAGGCGTGCTAGGTTGGAACGGTTTCTTCCGTTCTCCTCGGATGGTTTTCGTCTGACCCTCGGGTGGCCCACAAAAGGTCTGCTAGGTGGCCTACAGAACGGCATGCCAAGTTGGAATGGCTCCTTCCTGATCGAAATTTTGCCCTTGCATGGTCGATTGAAAGGTAGGTTGGAAGGGATGCATTTCTACATAATTACCATCGGGTGAACCACAAAGGGTGCGGTGGTTGCTATTTTTCCTGCAAAAATTGGAGACTACGTTGGTGGCAGAACAAGCAGCTGCCCTCGGCACAAAAAGTGTCTAACGTTGGAACAACTTCGGGTGGGCCACAAAAGATCTGCTAGCGGCTCCTGGCATCGCTACTAGTAACAAGAAGCTACTAGGGGCTCCTGGCCTTACTACTAGGAGCAAGGACGCTACCAGGAACAAAAGATCTGCTAGGTTGGGAAGGAGGTGACAAATAGCTGCCTCGTTTTCATCCACGCATGGAAGGGAAGATCCTTGGGGAATCAGGAGCCTTTTTAGTTGTGGGGGCCACTACCCACACTTACATCTCGTTTGTGTTGCTATTCTCTACCGGCAAAATGAGTGACAGAGAAAAACACGCGCTGTTACATTTGGCTATAGTTACATGAGGGCCTTTAAAGTATGTTGAAACATGCAATCAAGATTACGCCAAGTGCTAGTGAACCTTCGTGGAAGCACAGGTGCGTTGGGGATTGCGCTGCGTTGGCAGCCTTCGTTTCAGGCCCTTAAGGCGGTCGACATCAAGGCTTCAAGTTTTCCAATGTCAAACACGAAAACAAGTATATAAAATCCTTTTTGTGACTCTGATGTTTCCTCGTCAAACCCATCCTTTCACAAACTGTTGTGAACATATTCTTGTCAAAATCTACAGAAAGAAACGTTCCAAACTAGCAGACCTTTTGTGTGCCACAAGGAAGCATTTCAACCACCCAGTTCTCTTTATGGGCCTCCCGGAAATAACTTCAGAATTTGGAGTGAGAAGCGCATCTTCTGTGAACCACCCGCACCTTGTCTTGTGCACCGGATTGTAAAATCTAGAATCTAGACCAAGAAGAGCTTCCATCCTTCCTTCCTCCCTCCCTTCCTTCGTCCCGTCCCGTCCTGTACCTTCCCTTCCCGAAACCAACAACAAGTGTCTATTTAACACACACACACAAAAAGCACACCAAAAATGGAATTGCCCTGCAGGCAAAAGTCCCACACAAAGAAACAAAGCTCTGAATTGAGGTTGACAGGTTTGAATGGCGCGGAGCCAAGGCGGACGAAAGAAAAGATTGTATGGATGGACTCAGGGGGTCGCATCCGCAGTCGCCCCGCCTGGAAGCTCATGTTGTACTGGAAGGAAGCACCCACATCATCCTGAAAGTTGTCTCGGGTCAAGTGGAAGATTGTGAGCAAACATGTTGCTCCAAAAACTTCTCCCAGAAAAAAAAACAAATTTATGTGGGAACTGGACCTACAAGTAGCTTGCAAAGCGCGACAAAGCCAGTTCCTCCAGTAAGGATGTGAGCTGATCTGGGTCCTGTTGAGCCACAAGCGATACAAGCGATGGGACACACAGTTAAGCTTGCACCCTGCAGGGCATGAAAGAACCTCCAAGAGATCCTGGGTTCAAGAAGCACCTCTTGGCAAGTCGACTCGATGTATCATGAGGCTGGCCCTACTTCTGCCACAAGCATTATCTCCTGATGCTCATCAGTGTCAACAACTACACACAAAAATCGAACGGTTCAAGATTACATGGACCTCTCTCTTCTTGTGGATCGTTCAAACATCAAACATGCGGTTTCCAAACACCCTCTCCTCTTGCGAAAGCGAAGGTGATCGCAGCTCCTGAAAATCTTGTTCTGGGATAGGTAGATTGGGCTGGTCAGGAGGCTTCAGAACGTTCAGGACTTGGGAACGAGATTGACACAAACACGTGCCTGAGACTTTTCTTGCTTTCCCGCACCAAAACATCAGTTGGCAGACCCAGCAAATCTCTACAGCTAAGTTTTACCTTGAAATCCAAGCCTAGCATCGCACCTGTGCACACGACAGACCTGCCTCATCAACATCTGGTTCATCTTGAGAGAAACCTGTGATAGCCAATCTCCAAGTGTTCCAAGTGGTTCTGACCCTGTGCTATCTTGGTATGACGTGCAATGACATACACAGAAAACACAAATAGCAGTATATCCAAGAGCAGATCTGCCCAGATTCATTATGTGTCGCGAAGATTGTCAAAGGAAATTCAGTTAACACACTTTCAGTTAACACTTGCGAATATATGTGTATATATATATGATATGTATACAGCATATATATATATATCGAGACACGTAAATGTAAAGGTTGTTGTTGAGCAAATTAAACACACAGCAAACCAAGGTTGTCAGAGTTTATTGAATATACAAAACAAACAACATCGGACGTAAAGCTTGTTTCAGGCAAGTTGATGAACAACATCAACCATCTGTTGTTTACCAAGTCTTGGCTATCTCACCACTTGATACCATCTAGTCAGCTCGGCCCTCGCCTTACTTGCACACGTGGGTGCCATAGGTTAGGCGTTGCAGTTGAAATTTCTGCTTGCTAGCTGCGCTAAAGATTGTATTGGCAACCGTGCTCTGCAATTTGCTCGAATTTGCCGCTGTAGGCTGTAGGCTGTAGCTTGTGCTTCTAGTTGGTGAAGCATGTGATCTTAAGCATGAACCCCCCAAATCACTGACTTGAAGCAACACTTTGCAATCTTGTCTGAAACCTGAGAAGGTTTGTACAAAAGCCAGCAGGTGGCAGAGCAAACATTGAAGAAAAATAAACAAGACAAAGGTGTGATATGTGGATTGGGGGCACTCAGGTTAACCAGGTAGTAAAGGTAGTTTATATTGTACAAGGTGGGTTCGTTTTGACTTTAGAGTGTGGTTCGAACCTATTCAATCCCGACAATTCCCATACCATGCCATCCATCCACGTCCCATAGCCCCATAGAGCTCCATCCATCCAGTTGTCCTTCCATCCATCCTTCCATCCATCCATTCATCGGACGTCTGTCCGTCCGTTCGTCATTCATTTGTTAGTCGTACATACATTTCTTTTCCTCCATGCATATCCCAAGAACTTGCATCACCAGCATCACCAACTCAGCCTAGCCTTCACCCAAGCCAAAAGGACAGATACTTAGGCAAGTCTTAACTTAAGCAAGTCTGCGACAGTTGTGAGGTGTATGGATTGCCACTCAGCAAGCGCTAAACATCGGATGTCGGTCCCTTCGGTGATTGAGGCACTGGAAAGTGCCTTTCACTTCTCCATGAGGTTGCTGTGCATGTCAAAATGTTCCAAAGGCAACCTTCTTCAGATGCATTGTCTTTTGATGCAATATGGTGATGGTTCTTGGCAGGAAATTTAGCAGGCTGTCACTTTGCAGAAGAGCCACGCCGCAGCTGCAAAAGATTCATGTAGATGCGGCCCAATCGAGCCTCAAGTGCATAGATATTCTTTGGTGCTCAAAATAAACATCCAAGCGCCGCCTGCAGCTTTTTGCAGCCGTGCGCAAAAAACTGCTCCCAGAATACCGCATGAAGTGTGAACGCATATGAGTCAGGGAGCTCGATGCACGGTCTCCGACATCAAGCCACAGTGCTGCAGCATCTCTGTCAGGGAGTCCAAAGACATCGTCATGGCCTCAAGGTCAAGATCTAAGTCGGACTACAGTGCAAAATCTACCCCGGGGCATCAGCACCGCTCAAACCCATTCCATTGCGCATGTGCCACGCATTCATCCTTATCATTCTGATTGCAAGTGTAAGTGCTCAGTCACAACACGGCACGTGTACATTTGTGAAATGTTCGCTGAACATTCGTTCTTGAACAGGTTTGCACCTTGGATTCCCGCAGGGCGGGCTCTCATGAGCGCGAAAAGGGTTTTCGGGCGTGGACGTTCACTCGTCCTTTGCGCTTTCGTGTGGTGTGCTTTCGTTCGTTCTTCGAGCTTGCACCCCTCACTTCGGTGGACCTCGTTTGCTACCGCAAGTTTGATATTGGTAGCGGAGCCCGAACCCTGTCCGGGGGAGGGCTCCGGCGCACTTCGCTGGTTCGAGCAGAAGGTTCTGGATAAGCCCTACGCACCTTCCCTCTGCTGACCACTTCACGGTCCTGTCTAGCTCCTTCTTTGTTGGAAACCCATTGGGGCGGACCTTTGTGGAGCTCTTTGACCTGGCGTATGTCTCAGAGAAACCCTCAGCAGAAGAAGAAAGCACCAGCGACAAGCTCGCGATCCATGTCCAAGGAGGAGACCGCGGCCTACGCCGACCTTCGGGACAGTTACGTTCCGCTCTTCTCTGGCCAGCCGGCCGACTACCGAGAGTGGCGACAGCGGATACAGTTGTATCGCCGCAAGATGCTGCTATCCAAGCGTGCCAACGAATCCGTGCTGAACATCGTCGGCTCGTTCAAGGGGGTAGTCTGGCGCCTCTTCGAAGACTGGAGCCTTGAGAAGTTGGAGAAAGATGACGCCTCTGACGCCATCCTCCAGGTCCTCGATGGCAACTTCGCCTATGATCAGCGGGCGCAACTCCCTGCTGATTTCGAAGGCTATTTCAGTCTTCTTCAACGGCTGCCTGGACAGACATTGTTGACCTACGTCAACGACCATGAAGAGGCCTACCGTCGTTTGCTGCAGCACAAGGTCTCTCTCCCCGACCCCGTACAAGGATGGCATTTGCTTCGACGCGCAGCTCTAACCAAAGAGCAACGGCAGCTGGTGATGTTGAAAGCTCCTGGCCTGGAGAAGAATGCCGTGATGGAAGCTTTGTATCTCATCCTTGGACAAGACTACAAGTCCGGAGGTTGGAACCATGACCGCAACCGTCGCTTCAACAACCACAAGCGGGGTTCCAACAAGGCCTATGCCGCACAAGATGAATGGTATGATGAGCCTGATGAGTCCTATGATTGGGATGATGCTGGATACTTTGAAGAAGACTTCCCGGTCCAGGACTATGAACATGATGAGGCCGAGTTTGATGAGGAGGCCGGCTACTATGGGCATGAAGATGAGACCCCATGGCCGGAGGCTCATGACTCCACTTGGCCGAAGAATTCGATTCAGCCTTCGCTTCCTACACCGATGCTCGCAAGCGCTTCAATGATTTGAAGATGGCGAGAGGATTCCTACCAGTTGTTGCATTGGCTGACCAGCAACCTCTTGCTGGAGTGACTTCACCGACTACATCGCCTACAAGTTCCTCGTGGTCAAGCAAAGGAAAAGGAAAGGGTGGCAAGAAAGGAAAGGGCAAGGGCTCCTCGACCGTCATCCGGTACCCGCATCAAGGTGCTGGAAAGAGTGATCCCAAAGGTCGTGCCCGTGCCAACATGACCTGTTTGCGCTGCGGTCAGCAAGGCCATTGGGCGGCCAATTGTCCTCAAGCCACCTCACCGTCAGCCAAGAGCAGTGGAGCTGGAACCAAGCGACCGGCCCCTACCGAAGGCATGGCAAGTTCAGCTGACGTTGAAGCCGCGCTCCTCCTCTTTGAAGACCAAGCTGGCAATGAGCGGCCCGATTGCACTATGATCGACCCTGGTGCAAGTGCATTCTTGACAGGCTATGCTGCCTTCCGTCGCTACCTGGTTCACTTGGAGCATGATTGTGGCTTTCCCATTGACACCATCGCCATGACCAAAGGCAAGAGGCGGTTCCAGTTCGGAGGAGATGCAGCAGCTTGGTCAAATTGGTCAGCACAGCACACCTCCCTGTTTTCTTGGATGGTCGCTATGGAACCATACAGATCTTCTTGCTGCCTGGCAACACGCCGATGCTTTGTGGCAGGCCTATCATTGAGGCCCTCGGCGTGAGCATGGATTTCGCCATGAAGCGCATTCGCTTTGGAAGCTCAGCCTGGCAAGACGCCACCATTGGCAAGCAAGGTGAGTATCTCCTGTCGCTCACCAATGAGTATGACCTCATGCACTTCGACCCTCAGAGACCTGATTTTCAGTTGAAGACGGCCGAACCTGACATGATGCAGCAAGATGGCTACACCTTGGCCGACTTCGAGAAAGCTGACATGGTTTCACTCTGCGTGAGTCCTGCAACCCTGATGAGAAGGACACCAACGTGTTGAAGAGGCATGATTTGAACACCATGGATGTGCAGCTTCGTTCTCACCTCAACGACTTGTCCGCCTATGTCACAAAGAACCTGCACACCACATCTCCGAAGAGAACTTTGTGGGAAGTGTACTGTGGCTCAGCTCGCACGTCCAAGATCGCAGAGTCCCTCGAGACCGGCTGGAACTTCGATCGTCTTGATCATCAAGAAGCGTTCCTGCAGTTGCAAGATGATGAGGCCCCTGATGAAGTCCTTCTGGCTCCAGAATGTCGTCTTTGGAGTCGCATGCAGTCACTTGCTCGACGCACCCCGGCTCAACAAGAAGCCCTGATTGCAGCACGACAACGACATCATGACCGACACCTGTTGTTCTCTCGTCGTGTGTATCTCAAGCAAGTTGAAGGAGGATGACGTGGCCACATTGAGCAGCCGAAACATGCGCTGTCTTGGTGCACAAGAGCTTTCCGCGACCTTCCTGGCCGTCGTGCAGATTTTGACCAATGCCGCTATGGAGCAGCATGTCTTGATGATGATGGCATTTGGCGACCAGTGCGGAAGAGCACCTCCATACTCACGACCAAGCAGGCGGTCCAAGACTCGATGACTCTTCAATGTCACGGAGATCACCAGCATTGCTCTCTCGAAGGACATGCAGCTGGCTTGGGCCCGCGAACCAAGTACATGGCGCATTGGCCATCGATGAAGCACCTCAACTCTAGGAGACTGCCCGCACCACTGCTGAACAGAAAGATGTCACCGGCTCACTGGTGAAGTTGCGCGCAACGACCAAGCAGGAGGCAATCCGAGTTGTCCAACGCTTGCATCGAAACCTTAAATCCATCCACCAAGGAGCTGACTGAGTTGCTTGCATCTCGTCGTGCCAATGAGGAGATCCTCAGAGCAGCTTCCTCCTATGTCTGCGTTGCCTGCGCCAAGTACAAGAAGCCGGCAGAAGCCGCGCCTGCGGCCCTTCCGAAGACCACCAGCTTCAATCACATTGTACAAGCTGATTCTTCGTTCGGCTGGACTCTCAGAAGTATGCCATCGTGAGCATTGTTGATGTGTACTGGTTGGCCTACAAAACCCAGCTGATCCGTTGTGCACCCCACCATGTCCGAGCTGATGTCAAAAGCACTGGCACCGCCGTTGACGATGTCCACAAGGCTCTCACAACTGTGAGACAGCTGAAGTCTCGTGGCGTGGCACGTTACTATGACCTACATCAGCTCAACGAGCAGGACATCAGCGAAGTGGAACCTGATGAACATCATGATCAACCTGACGGTGACTTGCTAGAAGAGTCAGATCATCAAGAAGCGCCACCAAGGCCAAGCAGCAACACCACGAGAGGCCGACACGGCGATGCCACACACACACAACCACCATTGCCGACGCTGCCTGCCTCCGTGCCAGATCCACTGGACACATCACTGGCTACCGCGCTGGCAAATCACCAGAACATGCACGACTACACACCATCATCCCCGGCCAGATCACAAGCAGCAGCAGCATCAGCAGAACCACCACCACCACCTCGGGTTCCAAGCAGTATGGACTCCCTGTCAGAGCCTAGTGAGGAACCACCGGCTATGACGCCAACACCTCATGGAACACAAGCAGAACAAACAACAGCAGCACCGGGACCACGACCACCCCTGGATGCCATCGCAGCAGAGCTATATGAAACAGTCGAAGGAGAAACCTTCGCACAGAGACGAGCTCGATTGAATCGCCAAGAAACCTTGAGCTTTGCCCCCATGCGGTCTAGACATGCATCGCATGCTGAGGCAGTTGCACCTTATGCAGCGCAACATCCGCCAGCAGCACCACCGCCACATTCAGGCGACACCGTCGAAGGTCAAGTCTTCTATTTGGAAGATTTGGACACCAAGATGATCCCAAATGGCTGGTACATGGATGAACATGGCTACCTCCAGCTCCACGACAAGACCACCGACTTTTGGGAGCTCAAGAGTGGATGCCTTCTCCGACATCATGTCGTGCCCCGACGTGGTCATCTTCACCTCGACCACTTGCCGAAGGATTGTCCCGTGAAGCCTGACCAACTGGATAGCGTGAGGGTCACTCTGATCCACCAGAATGGAGACAAAAGTCGTCTTTGTACTGATGATGGCTATGATAGCAGTCCTCCTCCAGATGTGAAGAACACGTGGACAGGCGTTACCATCTTCCAGCTGAATGGCAATGTTCGCAAGGAGTTGGCCATGTACAGCGGACATCCTCAGTTCACCAGCGCCAAGCAGGAGGGCAAGAATCAGAAGCTTGCCAAGCAGAAGAAGTTCAAGAAGGAGAAGGGCGCTGTCAATGAAAGGCTGCTTGGTCCTGTGGAGCGTGCAATGTTCAAGGAGGCGAAAGTCAAGGAGCTCAAGAGTTTCTTCGACCACAACGTCTGGATCTTCGAGACTGTCCGCGAGGCTGATCCTGCTCGCACATTGACATCCAGGATTTTGCTGAAATGGTCTCGCAACCCTGATGGCTCACCACGAGCCAAGGCGAGGCTCATTGTCCGCGGCTTTGCAGACCCTGACGCCCTTGCTGGAAGCGTTGAAAAGTCCAGCCCCACGACAACCAGATCGTCAAGGTCCATGCTGCTGTCTCTAGCAGCTACCATGCAGTGGAGCACCTGGACCGCCGATGTGAGCACGGCTTTCCTTCAAGGCCGTGAACAGGAACGCAAACTGTGGGTCAAGCTGCCAAGTGAAGCTCTCCAGTTGCTAGGAGCTGATGAGGATACAAGAATGCTCCTTCTCAAGCCCTGCTATGGCCAGATCGACGCGCCAAGAGGTTGGTACTTGGAGGCTGTTGATCGACTACGTCGAGGAGGTCTTCGCCAGCATGCCTCGGATCCTTGTGCATTTCTCATCTATGAGACCGACGATGAGCACTTCGATGAGAATGACCCCGTGCGCCAGACAGTGTCTTCCCTGGGCTCGCAGAAGCTCGTCGGAATGGTGATCACGCACGTCGATGATCTACTTGGTGCTGGCTGCCCTCAAAGCCCAAGGTACCAGGCCGTCGTCAAGCAGCTGAAGGAGAACTTCTCCTTCCGGGAGTGGAAGGAAGAGACCTGGACGTCATGGAGTACTGCGGCTGTGAGCTGGAGAAGACTTCTGAAGGAGGCCGCAAACTGCAGCAGCAGAAGTACATGGAGAAAGTCCACCCGATCACCTACGACAAGAAGAAGCCTATGAATCAACCTTTGAGTGATCGAGAAACCACCCAACTTCGTGGACTCCTTGGGTCGCTACAGTGGCCTTCTGTGCAGACCTCACCTCACTTGCAGCGCTCAACATCACTGCTGGCTGGTCAAGTGACATCCGCCACCCTTCAAACCGTGGCAGAGCGCAACAAGTTGCTGAAGTTCGCCAAGGAGAACAAGGACCTTGGCCTGTGCTACAACCACCTTGGACCCAGCGAAAAGATGCACCTGCTTTGTTTCTTCGATGCTGGATTCTCAGCTCGCCTGGACGGATCCTCCCAGGGAGGATACATCATCATGATGATCAATGAGGACCTCATGCACTCAGCAGAGGAAGGCGAGTACCACATCTTGGACTGGCGCAGCTTCAAGACCCCTTGTGTCTCCCGGTCATCTTTGGGAGCGGAAGCTCAAGCAGGAGGCCAAGCAAGTGACGCAGTTGATTTTGCTTGTGAAAAGACCCAGGACGGCTATGAGCTTGAGTCCGAAGAGGTCCCTGCCAACGACTTAGGTGACCAGCTGGAGACTGTGAATTTTGCGCTTTGTTTCCTATGTGTTCGCCACATGCCATGTCGCGCAACGCCGCACGAACTATCAGGACAAGCGTCGGATGCAGAATGTCTTCTTTTGGTTGGCGATGTTTTCATTTTTGCTGCATAGCTGCAAGGCCGAATTGGCCACAGGTGTGTTGGAGGCCGAACCGGCCACGTGTGCGATGGAGGAGCCCCGGAATGACTTCTGGAACGATTTGTTTTGGTTTGCAGTTTTTGCCATGGCTTGCATGTTTCCACTATGCGCTGCCTTTCTCCTGGGCCGCTGCAGCCGACAGTCGAAGAAGCCCCCCATCGAGAAGGTTGACACAGTCGAGACATCGACTCAGAAGGATCAGCCGATCATTCCTAAGCGGCTGAGAGAGGAGCTGAAGAAAGAGAAGGCCCTGGGAGCTGAGCATTTTGCTGCAGCTCGCGAAGCGCGGACCGCGCTGAGCTTGAGCATGCAGGAGGTGAGCGACCTTCGGGATTTAGTTCGTGATGGTGCACGCCTTCTCCGGCGACTGGAGATCGCGGTGGATCAGCACATGCAGAACTGTCCACATGCCTGCCCTACCTTCGCCTCACGCCACGGCGATTGCTGGCATTTCCGAAGCTGCCACGTGGTCGAGCAGATCACGGAAAGGAACCTCCTTCTCATGCGCGGCTGCGCATATTGCGCTGATCAGCGCGGGCCACTTGACTTTGGTTTTTTTCCACCCACCTTACGAGGTGATATCCAAGCCTGGCTGGCAGACGCCGGCATTTGAGTTTGAAGGTTGGTGAAAGATCACCACCGATGTGAAATGTTCGCTGAACATTCGTTCTTGAACAGGTTTGCACCTTGGATTCCCGCAGGGCGGGCTCTCATGAGCGCGAAAAGGGTTTTCGGGCGTGGACGTTCACTCATCCTTTGCGTTTTCGTGTGGTGCGCTTTCGTTCGTTCTTCGAGCTTGCACCCCTCACTTCGGTGGACCTCGTTTGCTACCGCAAGTTTGATAACATTAATCATAGCGTGACGCACATATGCATAATTACATCGGCTGCCATTTGCCAAATTAGTTCTTTTTTTCACTTGGGCGGCCATAGGTCTCGGCCTTCTCAAACAACTGCTTTCTGCTTTGCTGGTCCAGTCCGCCACGGTGGCACCTGCTTCTGCGTCGCCATTGACTTCACTATGGCGCCACGATGGCGGTGCTTGTTGCCCCTTTCCGAAGTACCTGAAGACTACTGTGGAAGGCAATGCTTTCGGCGGTGAAAGGTAAAGCTGCAAATTTTCAGGTCTCTAGCAAACAAGAGAGACTGAATTTCCAACTAGGGTGCCACTTCTCGGGCTGTGCAAGGAAAACTTGTGAACACTGTCGGTTACAAGTTTCTTCGCCCAACATGGGATCACACTTTCTGTGATCTTGCCGAAGGACTTCTTCAGGGCCGGCTCAAACCAAGCACTCTCTCTTGTTGCATCTTGTTGCAATCGTTTACCCCTTTCTCAGTGCAAGGAGCTGCTTGCATAGGCCACGAAGATGGAACGAAGCCTATCAAAAGGGAAGCCCAGGACTTTGGGCCCCCGAAAACCCTAGAAACAAAAGGCATGCTGTGAGCGTCTTGAGTTAAACAAACAAAACTAGGCCAGGAAAACAAGGAAAAAGATGGAAACAGTTCAGCTATGAAGGTGGCCTGGTCCTGTTGATCAGCAGTAGGCCTCTCTGTACCCTTTGGCGTTCCACAACTGTCCATCATGAAATCAAGCTCTTAGTTTCTTTCCTCTACTAGCGATGGCCTCCAACCCAGAAGCGATGGCCTCCAACCTACTAGCGATGACCTCCCACCTAGGCGGAGATTGGGAAGCCTCGGAGAGAAGTCCTCAATGATCTCATCCAAGGACTCGTCTGTCAAGAGTTGGTACACCACACTTAGGAAGGCAGCCGGCTCAAAAAATGCTAAGCTCAATTGCTTCCTGAGAACAACAGGACCTAGTCGGACCTAGCAGCAAAGAAACTGCTGTGACCCTGCCCGAACTGCAAACTGAAGCTGCATTCTGACAAGCTTCTCATCCTGCTTTGTGCCAGCGTGAGGAATCAGATTGCTCTCGATCATGTGCTCCAGCTTGTCGTGGAATGCCTAACAATATCTAATTATTCTGTTTGCCAAGAAGTCCTTTGTCTGAAAAGAAACACCAAAAGATCTTAGCATTCCCTGGCCACCGGTGGAGGTGTTGAGACCCAAGTTGCAGCCGAGCCACCGTTGGTGGGAAGTCCTCCAGGTGAGCCCGACACGCCAAGGTCAGCAAGGCCTGCATGGCCATGAGATGCCATGAGTCAAGCCAGCATTCTGAACTAACCGAAGCAAAGGCCATTTGGTTTGACCTTTCTACTGTACAGAATGGACAAAAAGACATAAATAAAGAAGATGCTACAAGAGCGGCTCAAGATGTCAGCTTGAGAAGCATGCATAGCAAACCGTGTGCCGTTACGAAAAACGGTCAAACTCATTGCTAGCAAAGCCTCCACAAACATCTCCAAGGATAAGCCTGTCTCGAAGCGCGGCACCTCTTCCTGACGGTCCGAGAATTGTCAAGTAAGGCACTTGTTCCTAGTAGCGATGCACTTGTTACTCCTAGCTTCTTGTTACTACTAGTAAGGCACCTGTTACTACTAGCGTGGCACTTGGTACTACTGCTTCCTTGAATTGTGCTTTCATAAAAGCGAACAAAAGTTACTAGTAGCGATGCACTTGTTCCTAATAGCTTCTTGTTACTACTAGTAAGGCACTTGTTACTAGTAGCGAGGCACTTGTTTCTACTAGCTTCATAAAAGCGAACAAAAGGAAGTGATGTCGGAAATCATTGGACTGTGCCGACCTAACTTGTTTGAGCCAAGATCGTCCAAGGAGCAAATTGGTTTGCGAAGGCATGTTGCATCTTCACCTGGCAGCGCGAACTTCTGCGGAGTCCACGAGTCCGCTAGTCAACTCACGGCTTGAGCTGCTTCAAGTCTTGTTTACACAGGTGATGAAATGAAACGAGGGACGAACAATAATGACAGAAACATGACGAGGAGAAATAAAGTAGGCTTTCGTTGTTCAAGCTCGCCTCACATTACATGTGAAATTAGAGTGCACAGGAGGTCGTCGTATCATCCAGCACTTCGACTACATCAGGTTGACGTGCTCGCGACGTTGTCAAAGCCTCATTGTAGACCTCCTCCACATCCAGGGAGCTGAGCCTCAAGACTGGGATGAAAATGCCACAGCTTCGGCATTGAGTCATTGAGCCATTGCAACTCATCGAGATTGAATGTCAACAAATGTGAACAACATACACCCTGCAAGGACCTGCAAGGACTCAACCACCAACATCACTAGCCACTCGAGTGCAACAAGTGCTGTATATTCGAGCTTCTTGATCACACGCTACGCACATCAACATCTCAGCAAATCTGTGCATTCAAGTAAATTTAGACCAGCTTGATGCCCTCGCATCAATGGTAATCTTTCTTTGGCACAAAAAGTGTTCATCACAAGCAGGAGCAAAACAAACATATGCATGCCAGGGACCGAAGCACGTACAGGCGACAGTCACGGTAAAGCTTCATCAAATGTCGCGGGCTTACCACCAGGACCTTGAACAGTTGAACAGCCATTGTCTTCTTCTCGACTAAAGGGAGTGTTGTCATGGCAATTGTTGGAAATCACCAAAACACAAACACACACACAGCATGGATTCTGATTCAGCTTCAAGTCAAGTACTTGGTGAGGCACATGCGCTGCTTCGATAGTCATTGATGAGGTTGCAGTCCTTTAGCATGCAGGCCAAATCATGAGGAGGGGCCTTGCCAACCCGATACTGATCCATGAAGTTAATTGACATTGATTGGGACACTCAACATCGAATCCATCCTATCTCCGCTTTCTGTTCTTGGCTCTGAAAAGGGAATGAATGACCGGGATTTCGTGCCCTCCACCATGTTCACCATGTTCTCTTTTGTCATGTAGCAAAAGGCTTTGTCATCCTTCGTCTTCAGTATGGGAGACATCTGCTCGACATGTGGCTGGACAGGACGGACCACGACCACGCTATCCTGGCCTGGCTCTGGTGTCCGACCTTGGAAAGCACGAATGAAGGAGAACACGCAAACAAAATCAAACAAATGTGCAAAGTGGCTACAAAAAGAGCTCGATATGCATCACCTTCAGAAGCTTGAGTCTGCGGTTGGGTCAAGTTCTTGCTGATTCGGATGCCGATTTGGATCTGCTAGAGATTTCTGGAGTCTCTTTGGGGAAGACCTTGGAAAAGCTCCACTGTGTATGGTCAAAACAGAAGACTTTAATGACAGCCATGGGGCTCCAGAGTGTGGCATTCACGAGCATATTGCCGGAACCTGAGAAAAGGCATCGAGAGGACACTGAAAATCCTGCTTGTCTGGTTCTCAAATGGGATATTTGGCTGTCATAGCATTGTAGAATCTGCAATCATCCATATCATGGTTTATGGATGCAATCATATAATGAACACGAGAAATTCAAGGGATATTGGAAAAAGCGCTTCCAGTGTAGCCCTGAATGCACTTGCTTCGTCTTCAACTGGAGAAGAATGGCCAAGAAGGATAGCTCGTCATTCACGGTCTGTTTGCAGTGGCTATGGACCTTGCAAGCAGGCAAATTCATTATATACACCGAGCCAGGCTACACATCGCGGAAGGTGGCGATATGCTTCTTAAGCACGTCCTGCGTGGCGTGGTCATGCATCCTACTACTTTTTGCAGGGAACTGGGCCCCCTCGACAAGCTTCTGCGGTGAACCAATCTTGAAGCTCAAACAAATCACACCAATTGTTTGAAAGGCCGCTCAGCCCTCCAACCTGAAGCGATGGCCTCCAACCTACGCAGTCCTCCAACCTAGTAGCGATGGCCTCCAACCTAGTAGCGATGGCCTCCAACCTAGAAGCGATGAAATAAACGTCTGCTGAAGCACCCTTAACATCCCCCACATGCTCTGTCCTCCACTGCAGTTTTGACCTGGGCCGCAAGCTCACTTGATAGACTAGGTGCTTCTGCGCATTCTTTCCTCGCGATTAGTGGCTTCCAAGAACTCTTCGCGGCTCTTCAGTTAAATGGAATAACACTAGAATTACTTTTCTGGGCACCACGATCTGCACATGTCGGCATATGCCATATATGTGTTGAGCATTAACGGACGACATATTTCGCATATCCAAATACTGGAAATCCACTCTTGAGAGAAAGGATGTTGAGCGGACTGCAATTGTGCCCAAAACTGCCCAAAGCATCATAGAAAAACATCATTAAAGTATGCTTATATACATATCTTACATGGAACGGTTTAAGCCGGTTTGAGTTGCACGTCCTCGGATCCTCAAGACCCCGGGCTAAGTCTGCCGAGAGCAAAGAGGCCTGCTCACCTTGTCAGCGCAGCGGCCAGCGGGAATGGCACAAAGTACGAATTCGTTCAATCGAAAGTGAGAAGCAACATGTCAAAGATCAAAGCCTTTCCAAAGGAGTCAACATCAGCAGCTCAGCTCACCCAAACCAAAAGAATACACGTTTGAAACAGCAGTCGCGGTGACGGGTCTGAAGGGCCTGAAGGCCAGTCACTTGAAACAAAGGCCTTTGCTTAAGCCTGAAGGATTTGGGTGTCTGGAAGGGTCCTGCAGCCTGAAGGCCTTTGCAACAACCCGAAACGAAGTTTCAGACAAATTCTACGATTGAGCAGTCTCACAGGCCTTGTGATGATATCCTGGGCCGGAAGCAAGAAAGAGACAAAAGAACAAGTTGATGCAAGCATGTGGCAAATGGATCATGCAAGAACAATTGGCAAATGTGAACTTTGTCATACCATGATATACATGTTTATATATGCACGTGTAATATATGTTCATCTGACCACATCACACCGCTGGTGACAGCTTCCTTAGCAACATCTCATCACAAATGACCACTGCCCACTGCTGTTTGTACTGCCCATTCTCATCACCATCCGTTCACCATCTGCTCTTCTGCTCAAAGAGCCTTTGACACTCAACATCCCTTGCAATATGTCACACCAACACTCAAATGTATGCTGAAACCCGCTTTGCACGCCCTGGCCTGGCCTGCCCATCTCTCTAGAAATCGTGGCCTTGCCCCAAGTCGAGCACCATAAAATGCATGTTTTCTTTAGAACGCTCCATTTGAACATCACGTGTTCTTTGAAAATCTTTCAATCAGCTGGTTTCCACTAGTCTAGTCGTTGCGTTTTTTGAGTGCGACCTGGTGGCCGCTTTTGAGACTGTCCATACACATTACGGTTGCAAATTGCAGTCGTCGAAGGGTTAACCGGCCAATCGATGAAAGATACAGTGATGCGGTTGCCACCTCTGCCAAACACCCCACCTTGCCTGGATGTTGCTGCTGGACACCAAGTCTCCTCGTTGTCCCTTTGGCAGCTGTTGCGCAAGTTCCAACATGTCGCAGGGCAAACCTGAAAGTATGGACCATTTTCCAATGACAAGGACACAATTTTGTTTGGGCAGGTGTCTGTGGAAGATATCCCATGTTGAAAATTTTCCCAACATGAGTGCCTAACAAGAATGTGTGCAAATTCACTCGCAAAACTGAATTGGGAGGAGGGTTGTTTTGCTCGAAGACGAACAAAACAAAACAATACGATTTGGTGATAAGGTCCATGAGGGTCCTGGGACGTCACTGCGGAAACCTCTTCTTGGTTCTCATGTCTTCGACCGGTGACATGGGACGCCTTGCATTTTCTTGAAAAATGGTGGGAAAAACCCACGTTCTTTCCGATGCAACAGTACGGTGCTGTGCCTTTTCGTATTTTTGTTTTCGCTGGTGGCTTTTTCACGCTTAAGCTGAGAATAGCCACAGTTTCTGTCGAAACACTACAGGTCACTACAGCGGAAATGCGGAAATGTCACTGCTTTGATGTATCCCTTCGGCTGTTACAACTCCAACTGCAGCTGCGTGTTCCTGCAGTTGCGTGTTGACACCCACATCACATAAAGAGTCCTTACACCAGTGAAAAAAACTTTGCGTAGCACTTGGGTGGGTTTGGTATGTTGGCAAATGTCTAAGTGGTTACACTCTGGTCACCTGAGTCCTCGGCCCTGTGACCTTTTCACCAGCATCTTCAATGCAAAGGACCTGTGCAGGAGAGGACCAGCTGCTGCAAGGCACGGTGGAGTGCTTTCCGACACTCATCATCCTCAAGACCAACTCTGTGCCGAATGTTGCGGCCAATTGCCAACCTGTAGCACACTAAAAGGCACATCATCTTATCTTGAACATCGTGGAACCTCGATCCACTTCACAATAGGTTCAGGCTAAACAAACCGAAGTCCTCCCCAGGTCCCCAGCAACTTTGAAAGTTTAAGTTCGTTGTACTCATGCCGGACAAGATCTTTGTCCCGATACATTTAGGTATTTAACCCTGCTGCACCGCCCTGGACTTTGACGTCCTTGAGGGCTCAAAAAACAAACAATCAAACGACAAAGTCCCGCCGAAGCTCTTGCGCCCACGGAAACCATTCTCTGACCGCCCGAGAAATACAGAAGGACAATTCAAAGCGAGCAGGATGTTCTTGTCAGGCGGCGGCGGAGGTTTTTGCCTCGAATAACTTCTGCCAAACTAAGCATCAATTCAATTAACCTTGTGGCTTAGGCGCCGAGCGCAATCCCTTTCTTCAGCACCTTTGTTTTCTGTCTTCAGCGCCGTTATGTTCTTTCTTGACTCGGAAGCTGGCTCATCTCCACATTGGGTTCGAGAACCCGCCACTCCGACCGACCTCCAGTCATGTCACATCTTGCAAACACCGCGCAGGGGGACGGGCAACTGGGACGAGGTAAGATTTTGCTTCAAAAGCAACGCGCGCGGGAAAATTTGCGTTTTGCCGCTCGCAGCAGCGGCGCTCTCCTCCTCATTGGGCTGTTTCGCACATGGCATAGGTCAGGTTGTCGACATAGCTCCACATTCCGCGCTCAAGGATGCGGTACGTGCGATCCAGTGGTGTGAGCTTCGCGCAAGCATCCACCCACATGTCACGGCGGCGGTCGACTTCGACTGTGCGTGGGCAGGAAAGCACCAAAGCAATTATGCCCGTCAGGTCGAGCCACATGCTCCAGGAAAGAAAGGGACAAGGCGCACACCAGGTCATTGAAGGCACAAGAGGCTGCCATGCTACTGGGCGGGCCCTGTTGCTGGTTGAAGCAGTGTAACAGCGGAGCGCGCCGATCACCTCTATGTCCTCGTCGATGTAGCGCACCGGCCGCGTGCAAGTTTTTGAACAACCTGCAGCTGACTGTCCTCCAGGGGTCTCCTCCCTTGCAACACGTAGTACAGCCCGCCACGTTTGTCCAAGGATGGCCTGAGCGCATTGAGCAGCTTGCCGATCCCGCTCAAAAAGGTCGAATTCTTCTCCTCTTTGGCTGCGAGGTTGTATTTCTTGGTGCATTGGATGTCAAATCCGGTCAACCACCAAGACATCTCTCGCCTGAGCGACCTCCAGGTCTGTGGGCTCCGTTCCTGCATTGGCGTCCTTCTCATCGACCTTCAGTGCACTGCCAGGTTGCCTTCCTCAAGGAGGCGAAGTGAAAGGGCAAAGCAAGCAAAATCTGAAATTCCTTTCCTGGAGCTCGATGTTTTCCAAGCGCGTGCTTTGGAGCGCCCACCAACCACCAAGGAAGTCTGTCAGCACTTCGGCAAAGAACGCTGCAATGTGAAAGTCCTGAGCAGTCCGGCCACATGGCCGGTCAACCAAGCCAAGGCACACGGTGGCCATCAGCAGCAGGTGTGCGCAGCGGCGCGCATGGCCCGAGCCGAACCAACTGGGCTCCGGTGCCACTGAGAGAGCATGAAATGGCAGGACGCGCTCCAGGTCTTTTTCACCAAGAACAAAAGCAGTAGCCTTATGGCTTATGTGAAAGCACGACAAGATCGATCAACCCTGCACGTTCGAGTCAAGTCCAAAATGAATGTTTCTTCAATCTTGGTACTCGGTCCAGTGCCGGGAGCTTGTCCAGCCTCATTTTGCCCTTCACGGCTTCGGAGATCTTTTCATGTGCCCGCATAGCTTCCAAGGAGCTCCTCGTGATGAAAGGAGGGGGTGTTGAAGCAAAAAGGTAATATAAGGTAATAGGATCTACGATTCTACAATGGACAACTAACTAATAGAAACCTGACTGCGAGGAGTCTGGGTCAAAAATCCGAAGCAAACCTGCTGCGCCACCCATGTCCGTCTCAATTGCATTTCAACTGCAGTTGGTGAATGCCAAACGAAGACCAATTGAAGTGCCGAGTGTTTCCGATCCATGCCCATGCCGGGAAAACTTAAGAAGCCACTGGTAAAGACACGTGAGATCGCGGAAATATTATTTGCACCATGGCACGGCAAATGTTCACGTCTGTTGCGAAGGTAGGTGCACAGGTTCTGCACGGACTCTGTCTTGGCTGCCTCAACATGCTCGGTGCACATCTTCCTGGAAGGTTGGAGGCCATCGCTAGTAGGTTGGAGGCCATCGCCAAACCAAACGAAGTGACCTTATTTAACTAATTGCTTCTAAGGATGCCCCCGCTTCAAGGATGGTCGGGATGGTGTCCACCGAGCAAAACTACGCTTCTAGTTCTCACAGTGCTCATGCAACGTCCGGCATACAAATCAAAAGCACCCAAACACGATGCCTTTAGCTGCAGGTTCGTGTTGGTGGGGCAACCCAACCACCTTGATGCTTCCATTCCTCACCCGTCACCTGGTTTTTGCCGGTGGTTGCCTGGCTTCGTAAGTCGGGGCTTCCTGGTTCGGTGTGACACTGGGAGGTTGGAAAAGACCGGAGGCTCCAGGATTCCTCACTCTGGTTGCTTCGACCATCCTTGGGGGCTCTTGAATCACTGGAAGGAAACAAACCTGCGGCGAAACAGTGGTCGCTCATTTCAAGATTCTACGATTCACTGGCGCCCTGAAACACGAGCTGCAACAATTATCAAAAATACACAAAGCAATGCAAAACAGACATGAAGCAACTCTGTTGCACTGGGTCTGTAGCGTCTTACACTCCTCACATTGCCTTCCAAATACCCAGCCTCCAGGACGATGGAGCTGAGCTGCTCCTCGGATAAAGAAATGAATCAAGCTGTAGGGTCTAATATCCAAAGCCATTGTGAAAAGGAAGAAACATGAAGGAAGAGAGGGAAGTGGTGCAAGGGCAAACAAAGAAAGACACCTATATAAGCCCTTACAAGAATGAAGCCGCCTCAAGTGCTGCCAATGCTCCATATGCCGCCCGGTGGACGTTTTTGCACCCACTGGCAAATGTGCACGATGCACCATAAGTTCAGCCAGGAAAGCGGCCATCCTTTGAACAAACACCAAATCGATTCTGAAATGCCTGTTCTGCGTGCCACAACAGCAAAAGCACAGCTTAATACTCTGAACACAAAGGTCAACGCATGTCTTAATGGTGGCTGGCACTGCGTTTTGCTCAAAAACCACAATATAGAGATGGACATCTTGATCTAGAAGAGGAAATCGCTCTTCACCCTGTCCCAAATCTTCGGCCCAGCGACATGTCGGTCTGTCCATCCCGCAACACCTCCTCTGTGAGGATCTGGTAGCCTGATGACCAACATCCGCAAATCATTAAACATTATTAAGTTGATAATGCAACAATATGATATGCGCTAAATTCTGGGCCTTGGGTGCCCTGACCAGCTGTTATCTGCCGAATGGTTCCAAACGCTTTACCTCTGTGAGTCCAACCACCTCCAAAAACACGATCGAACTCTAGCCATGTTCAAGCACTTGGAAGTGCTTGCAGCTGCAAAGCTGGACAACATGCCAAAATATGCCAAGAGGCTCGAACAGCGGTTTGCCACTGCCACCACCAATCGCAGGGTGGCGGCTTCCGTTGCAGCAGGGTTCGGTGCCATCTCCAGGCTTTTCTGCAACCAGCAGGGGAGAGTAGATTCACGACGGGCAGTTTCCGAAAGTCAGGCTATATCCAAGTGGATGATGCATCAAAGTGTCCAAAGGTTCAAAGTACCCAAACATATAAGTGACACAAAAATTTGGCACAAGTCAGGGTACCATGTCCTGTGTATTCACAAGGTGAGTTAGATTACCACCTCAAAGCGCCTCATCATTCAAGCTTGCCCAGCAGAATCGATTCCAATCCGGGGAACTTGGGCCAGTGTCTACTACGTAAGGCAAACCCTCAAAACCCTGAACTGAAGACAAGTCAATCAAGAAGGAAAATCCCAGGAGGAGGCTTCGTGTTTGAGTTCCGGTTTCCTTTTCCAAGCCCTGTGCAAATTCTCACTACTTACGACCTTTACCTTTACATACAAAGGCTGAACTTCAGCTGAACGCTAAGATTTTGCTAGTGGCTCAAATGGTCATCACCAGCAAGACAGGTGGTTAGTCAAGTATATGCCCGTTGCCTGCATATCCTCGTGGATGGTCATCACGTCAGGAGCCAACTTCGTGAGCAGTTCCAAAAGAATTGAAAGATCCTTTGAATGTGCAAGGCTTCTACGCATCATTTTGCAGTGAGGCTTGCATTGATCTTCTATAGTAAGATGGCATCTCCATCCATGAATCAAGTCATTGGTTTCTTACTTCCTCTCTTTCTGGAAGGGAAGTGCAAATCCTGGTTGCTCAAACAACCAGCAAAGGGCGTCACTTCCAAGAACCGAACTCTGTGAGAACCTGAAACAGCAATTGCCAATTCCGCCTGCACCAGCCTCTGCCCTGAGGAGATGGATGTCAATCGTCTGAAAAGATCACAGTAACAAAGTGTTGCTAAATTAATCCAAAAGGTCCAGCTCGTTCAAGTTCGGAAGCACGTTGCGTCCAGGTTCCTCCCCTGCAGCATTGCCAGCGATTCGATTCGGAATTGTCTTCCCAGCCGAGAAAGCAAGGGCAAGTGGTAGGAGACTCTGGCAAATTTGCTGCATTCTGAGAAGGGGAGAAGACTTGCAATGAACACATTTGTGTCGCTCAATTCTGATGTGCAAAAGACCTTGCGTTTGTAAGCCACACAGTGGCGCCTGTGGCTTCGACACTGCGAATCTCTTTCAAGTGAAAATTTGCCCAGCGCAGTAGAATCTCGTGCGCTGGGATCGTAAGCAAATCTGATTGGCCCTCCGGAGGTGCGCGGTTCGAAACAAGCAAAATGTATATAAGTCTTCTGCCCCGAAAAAAACCTGAGAAAACATCTCTAGAAATTTCTAGACTGTGGATCTCCATGGTTTTTCAAGTTTCTCGTGGCTCAAGACCTAATCACCTAATCATATGCAAACCTGTTTTGCCTTCCAACGCCCTGAGCACCGTCTAGCATGACCCTTTGCACTCGCGCCTCTTCTGGTTTCAGCAACGGGGAGAAGTCCTGCCAAAACCCCAACCAGTTTTCTAACGCCTTGAGTCTTGATGTGCACTCAGGACATTTGCAACCATGCCATGCGGTTTGTGGCCATTCAAGATCGTACCAGGATCCTAGATTGGAAACAACCCTGTACAGCATGACTCTTCCAATACCCTTGTACGTCAACCACGCGAATCAAAACCAAATAGAGAAACCTTAGCCAGAAGCATACGATCGGTACACCAATGACTACCAGGAAGGCTTGAGGATGAGGAACGTTTCAAGCCCAGCCTGAGGTCTCTCAATTGCCCAGGCACCCGCCAATGATTCAATCTGTGTGAATATGGACTTCGGTGCCGGATCTGCGTGCCTGAGTCAATCTAGTCAATCCGCTGACCTTTTTTTTGTGAAGGGACAAGCAACTTGTGTTCTGTCGATTGTCGACCAAATATTCAATAAATGAACTTGTGTTTGTGGTTCTGTTCTACGTGTTTGTGTTATTGTTGTTGTTGTTGTTGTTGCTGTTGTTGTTGTGGTGGTGGTGGTGGTTGCTCTTGTTGCTTTTTGTGTGGGCTTTTGTTGATCCTTCAAGAACATTGAACATATTCCAGCTGTGTTGAGAATTAAAGAAGCCTGGCGGCGTCCCTGGCTCGACTGTAGTTGCCCGCTCTGCATCGTCAAGCCAGGCAAATACTCTCCTGGCCAATTTACTTTTTGAACGCTATGCATGTGTGCCTCAAACTTCTCAGAGACGACCCCAAAACCTGAGAAGTGAGGAGCGAAAGCCAGCCGCCTTTATATAAAGCGCTCCAAGTTGCATCCGCCATGACCTGCTTTGTCCAAGGTCTTAACGCTAGAACCTGCTTTTCGGAAGTGCCCTGCTTTCCCCGAAGACAGCTTTCAAACAAAGCGCACAAGGGCACCAAGAAACTCCTCCTTAAGGTCTTTCTAGATAGCTTGGTGCTAGCACTGTCCTGTTTTGTCCCGAGACGGCCTTTAAACACAACACAAACGCACCAACCCGGAAATGCGGCTTCATGGCTGTTTTGTTTGACGCTCTGCATCTTGTCTCTTTACATAGAAGTGCCTTTACACAGCTGCACCGGCAATCCGTTCCAACCGTGCCCTCCCTGCTTGGGACTTCTTGCTAGAACTTGCTTTTTGGAAGCACTCTTTTTTATTCGAAGCGGCCCTCCTCCTTAAGATCTGTTCCGGGAAACTCGGCGCTAGCGCCCACTTTCTCCAAGGTGCCCCTTTTTTGCCTCAAGGCGGCCTTCAAACACCCCGCAAAAGGGCACCAATAGGCGCAAGCATTGTTGCCGCATCCCGCTTTGTCAGGAGCCTTCTCGCTAGAACCTGCTCTTCGGAAGCATGGACACGGAGCCTGAATCTGAACGCTATCGCCCCCTTATGCCTTAAGGGCTTTTCTTCGACCCTCCGCATCTGGGTCTTTGTAAATCGCACTACCTTCCCTTTCATGCATGGCTTGACTTCACGCATGGCTTGACTCGAAGAACAAAAACAAACATGAATTTACAGCGCCACTCGAAACAAAACCACGCTCCCGATCGGTTGCTTGTTCAAACATGTTCAAGCAGACTGGCGCGCTCCTCTTGAATGAGCGGTCACAGCACTCGATCCGACACCGAGGTTCACCCACACATCCTGAACAGGTGATCTCTTTTCGCGAGTCCGACAGGATAGATGGTGACCTGCAACACATGGTTTCAGGAGCTCAATCCCGAGAACAAAAAATTGATCAGATCTCCACGACTGCTGACACACGAGCCTGGCCTTGCCTGCGCCTCGATGAGGCGAGTAGTCGGCCCCAGAGGGCAGGGTGGGCTTTCTCATCCTGGGAGCTTCTCGCCAAAATGGCATCCGGCGATCGAGCGATCGGCATCAGTCCTCTTATATGACATATGACAAACATGACTGAACATTTTTGTCACAAGTGACTAGTAAGTTCCTACCCACTGAACGAGCGCTATAGGAACGGGGTCACAGCACTCGAGCCGAGTTCAAAATTAGTGAGCACATTAAAGAAGGGGTCACCGAGGTTCGTCCACACATCCTGAACAAGTGATCTTTTCACGAGTCCGACAGGATAGATGGTGACCCACAACAAGTGGTTTCAGGAGCTCAATCCCCGGCGCTCCTTTTAAACAGCCGCACTTATGCCCTCGCACTGGGTCCAAAGGGCTGTGGCTGACCGCGGCCTGAGCATTCTCAGGCACTGGATCCATGTGCTGATGAGCCATCCTGTGGAGCTTCACATTCAACTCTTCCCCACGAGCCAGTGGAAGCAGAATCATCCCATCGAGCTGATGCCATGGTCATGGTCATCGGGCGCTCAAAAGCTGCTGAGAATTTGGATCCTCCAGCCGACATGGCTCGATCGCTCGCCCCAGGCCCTACAGAAAAAGACCTTCACGACTGCCTTTCTGATCCTCGCGAGCGATCGCCTCTTCTCGCCAAAATGGCATCCGGCGATCGAGAAATCGGGCATCAGACTCTTTATATGACATATCACAAACATGACTGAACACACAAACATGACTGAACAGGTTTGTCAGAAGTGACTAGTAAGTACCTACCCACCAACCGTCAACTTACCACTTGTAAATAATGATGTGTGGCATACTGCAACCGACTAGTTTGCCAAAGCACTCAAAAAAATGCCGTCATGCCCAGGCCATGATGCAAAAATGCATCAACCGTTGCGGCATCACTCCTCCACCAGGCTCTGGGTTCACCCTTTTGTATGCCTAACAGAACTTCAGCCTAGCCTATCGGCTGGCTTTCGTAAAATGAAACCTCCGTGGCCTCTCTCGGGTCATATTCTCATTTACGTCTCTGCTCCACTAGGGCCTGGCAGGGCAATTGATCAATGAATCGCTTTCTCCGGACATCAGCATACATAGTTGAAGAATCTGGGTCGACGCAATCGTCTAAAGAAACCATAAGATTGAAATTTGCACTGAGTATGAGTATCAGCATCTTACAGGCGTGCTGTGCGTCGCCAAGGGAAAGACCAAACAAATCAATTGCAACAGGGGTAGGCAAGCAATTCACGCGAATATATAAGTCTTGCTGATGCGAGTACTTAGCTACATCACCTCACTTTTGTGCTTTTGGCGAGTTCTACTTGCACTCACCTCCCAAGTTGCAGGTTTGCCACAAATATTCAATGGTCCTCTCCTTCGAAGATCTTTGGCACGTTGCTGTGCATCTTGCTGTGGCTCAAGCAAAAGCTCAGCAGGAGTGAAGGAATCCTGTTGATGCGAGGAGGCGACCCGGTGCAACCCGTTTGGAGAGACTCTACAAAGACTTCTCACACACAAACACTGACCCACTGCAGTCTCACTTTCAGACTTGCGGTACATTAAAATCCGTTAAAACAGTACGTCGTTGTAACATGGATTAAACAATTATATAAAAATCCTGACCAATTCCCGAGACAGTCTTGAACTCAATGTCTACACAATTGGCATCCTCATTGCATGACCATACAAGGTCCGGTCTTTTATGTTCTTCAAACACTCAGGACCTTCTCTGCCCACCAAGTTCAGCCAGGCCAAAGTCTCAAGCTGTTCGACAACACCCCTAGATACCCTTGGAATGTGCCCAAAAGTAAAGCCACATCTTTTCCAACTGTGTCTGAACTTGTTCCACACGGAACTTTGTTGCTTTGTTTTGTACCCAAGTCCAGCTGTAGAGCCACTCCAATCCAGGCCTGGTTCTTCTTCTTTCGCGGCTCCTTGTACACCTCGAACGCGAAAAACAAAGACTCCCTTGGTGAGTAATTTGTTAGTAACAAGGACGCTACTAGGGGCTCCTGGCCATACTACTAGTAACAAGAGGATGCTACTAAGTGTTGAAACTTGAGAAATTGGAATTGATTCTGACAAGTTCCCCGCCCCATGGCTCACTTGGAGCGAAGCAAGACCTGCTTGTGTTTGACCCACACATACCCACTCTAGATTGAATGCAGGTGAGCTGCTTCAAAAGCATTAAGAGAGCTGTTTCACTGGGAGGAAAGTGTAGAGTGGCATTTAATGCTCTACACCTATAACTATACATGTTCAACTTGCTGCTTGAAACAACTTGGTGCGGATTGGGGATTGAAAACAGCTACCTATACGTCAAGCATTTCTAGGACGCCTTTCTTGAACTTCCACATGAGCACACCTTCAAATCCCCTGGCATCAACAAAGAGAGCAAGGGGATATGCTGTCGAAAGTGAGTCGAGCAAACAGCGATGCCGACCCCCAAATGCGCCTCCTGCGAAATGGCACTGTCAATTGCAAAGGAGGCAGCTCCCAAGATCTCATGTTTTGCGGAGCATGGCAATGTCCTAGAGAGCTCAAACGGTCTGGCACTGTGAAGTTGATATCTTCGCATCAAACAAAACTGGTTTTCGATAGACCCTGATAGACCTATCCAGCTGTTAGAATTGGCTAAAGATAGTGAAGATACTGCCAACATCTGTCAACCTGTATCAACCTGTAAGCTTAGCTGAAAGACGGATTGCTCATGAAGATCACTGCCAAAACTGCAGGAATCAGCCCGCCTGGCATGCGTCACATAAAGGCACGTTTTGTAATATCCGTCAAACAAAGAACTCAAGCAAGCACTTGCATTCTCTCATGACAGACCTTTACCACCCGCAACGAAAGGTCGACATGCATATCATGAAATGGGAACTGCCCAATGGTGATCCTCTTTCATTCTTCAAAAACGACAAAAACTATGTCCCAGCCCAGCCTTTGGTATTTAGCATGACATCATTCGGTTGCAGCAAGTGCTTGGCCCGAGTTGGGATCACCTTGCTGTCCGAATTTGTTTCCACAGAGTGCTAATAATGGTGGGAAATTGGCTACAAAATCCAAAAACATGAATACAATGAAGATATGATTATAAACTGCAGACTAAAGAAAGCGCACGCTATGTTTGCGCAATCCATGGTCAGCAAAAGGTCAACATGGACATGGATTACTGTATTTGGAATTGACAGTTCTTTGAGAACACCGTTGTAGGATTTGGTTTTATGAAGATCACATCACTTTCGACCGTTTCCTCCATCGAGAGTTCCTTCCTTCATACACACTGGTTTTCCCATTTTGGAACGTCACATATACACATACATCTATATATATATATATGTATGTATGACTACTCCGACTCCTTTATAGAAGGAACCCACAATTTGTGGATCATCAACAAATTGAAGAGAAGGTTCCGAGTTGCGAAGGGTTGTGAACAAGTATGCCGTGCGGGTCCGTCATGGTAGTGTGTGTGTGTGTGTGCGCGCGTGTGTAACTCGCTATCACAAGCGGTAAGACGGATTGGTCCGATTTTGTCATGCGCTTCATACGGTTTAGAGTCTAAACCCTTATAATGCCCTTATATATCGGCACTTTTCCTTGTCTTGTTGGCGTTATTGATGTTTGTTCCTGAGGTTCGTCTTGGTGCAGTTGGGTATGCTGGAATGTTTCGAGCTAAACTCCTACTCTTGGCATGTTCAAGACCAAGAAAACATTCTGAAACCATGAGCCCTCAAAGCGCAAAGCGCTTTGATAGCTGTTTTGCCCGATTCAGGCACACACACACACACAGAAAACTCCTGCTTTGGCGTTCAACATGTTTGACAAGTCCCAGCTGCTTGTCGGATAGCTTGGCAGAGCGCTTGGGCCTTGACCTCAGGTTCCTTCTCATCCAAGGGCCACAAACTCACTGGATGCGGCTGCGAGCCATTGGAGCCATTGGCACAAACTGCTCCATAGATCACTGCGAACAACACACCTGCACAAGCTCAACAAGCTCAGAGACCAAAAAGCCTTGTGAGGAGCTCCTAATGTTCTTGACTCCGAACTCATCCTCTATAGGAGTGGGACTCACAGCTAAATGCAAGAAATAGGGGTGTGATCCTGAATTGGAAAAGGCTTTGCAAAGCACGAAAGCTCTGAACTCATGGCTCATCAAGTCCACAGGTGGTGAATCACTTGATTGACTTCACCTCAACACTGAACACGTTTCACCGCGGTTCGGCCTTCATGATCATCCTCGAGGTGCCCCAAGTGCTTCATTGCTCTCACCAATTTGCACCGCTCTCCTGGACTTGCTTTCATCAAATGAAGCACAACAGACAGCCTCCATCCTAGTAGCGATGGCCTCCAACCTAGTAGCGATGGCCTCAGATTTGGCAAACATACAGCTCTCAAAGATTGTGTACAGTGTAGAGTATCTCCCTACAACCTGTGGAATAGTTAGCCGCATCAACCTGAAAGGGGAGCCAACCTTTGGTGGTCTAGAAACAACAGCCCAACCTTTCCCAATCTTTCAATGAGTTTCCCATGAGTCTCAAGAGCTTGCTAACAAGCCCAAGCGCTTGCTGAAAAGGCATTTGCTCAAGCTGAGGCTCCATAGGTCTCGATCTCTCGAGCCGACCACTCCACCTCCCCCTCGACATTGCCCTCCTCAAGAGGCTTTGGAGGCCATGCTGGTTTTGAGTATCTAGACCTGCTGCACACTAACCTAAAGTAGTCCCAAACGTGATTGATTTGCCAAAGGCCATCACAAGGTATCGCAAGTATGTGCAACTTGGCACTTCCTCCCTCTACCCCAGGTGATCAACTCATATAATTTTGGCCAAAGGGTGTCAGGCCCCAGTCCTCCGAGTTTCGTTTGGACATTGCTTCGAGCACTTCATTCGCAACCTCAGCAGCCGCTTCAATGTAATAATATACAATTGGACTGGTTCCATCCTGATCCTATTTCCCACCCTTGAAAATGTTATGTCTCAAGAATGATGGTTCAAAAAGTAAGCAACCAACTCTGGGCCAAGTCTGTGTCTTGTAGTGAATGACTCTCCACTTTAGCTTGCTCTGAAGGAATGCTGCCAATCGACCAATTTGAATTGAGCCAACTGATGATTTGCCCAGCGAGTGAGAACTTGATCCCCAGTGAAGCCAAACAACCTCCAAGCACGTCAAGCTCCAGGGATGGGATTCAAGCCTACCACCAGCGCCTATCAACACCACATCCGTCCTCCTTACAAACATAAGACCGAAAATTTGACCCAATGGCCCAAGAACCATCAGTTTTTCATCAACTTGTCTCAAGTCTCAACTTGTCAAGTGAGAATCACAAGGCAAAAGGGTTCCTCAATTGGCCAGGCTACCGCCACGGGCTGTCCTCATCTGGCATGAGCAATGGTGCTAAATCCCGTGTCAAGAAATTCAGGCGGAATCTCGTCCGCTGCAGGCAGCCTGAGCTTTCAAAATCTCACATACCTGAATTTCCTGGTCAAAAATGCAAAAAAATCTTGGCAGCCCAAAGGTTGCTAGAGCTACTGAAGCAAATACAAATAGCTGACGAATGGAAAAGCAGTGAAGCTGAGCAAAAGGCAGTTAAAACCAATGTAAAATTCCTCTAGTTTTTCTCTGCCCGACAGGATTGCACGCTTGTGGCATTTTTTTGGACGTGTAAGACTTGATTCTTGACACCTCCCGTGAAATCTTGATAGGCATTGAGCTTCCTTGCCCTCATCCCTTCGGTCGTTTGACCTCTTTTGTCCAAGAAGATTGCGGGTTCGGCCATGGATCCAGCATCAGGTCTTGCTGGGAGCTGCGATCGATTACTGTATACTTGAATAATAAGATTATCTGTTGCACGCTTGCAAAAACGACATATCACAGCCCATTTCAAAGGGGGCAGAGGTTTCTTTGTTGATTGCTCCACAGCATCGAGATTAGAATCAGAAGTAGATTGGCTGGAGCTTCGCTATACAACGCTGAGTTGTTCAAGAATTGTTGAGTTTGATCTGACAACTTAGGAAGGCAGTGGGGTGTGAATATATAATGCAAAGCCAGTTGTCAGCATCATTTGCGTGACTTTAGCACTGGGGGATTTTGAAGGAAGGTATGTTGCCTGGGTTTCAAACAGCTAACGCTCACGCAGAAAGATTACAGTAATTCGTGCCTATGTCAACACCTTCCACAGTGTCTCAAGGATTGGATGATTTGCATGAAGTGAAGCAGGTCTCACGTGCTGGCGCGTCAATGGACAAGCTTCGTCAACAAAGTGTCTGTAGGTTTGGAATGTGACATTAACAGCCAAAGAGAGGACACGAGAGCCAGTGAGGACAATAGTCAGCAAAACAGCCTAACCTCACAACTCCTCACCTACATGCTTCAACCGAACCAGTTCCCTTCCAGACATGCTTATCGCCAGTCACTCGCATGGTTGGAGTCTCTCAAGCAAATCATCACTACAAGAGGGTCGAGAGGATCCTCCTGGTGGGTCCAGAGATTTGATGGTCAGAGGACATATTTGTGTCTCACCAAGCATCCTTTTCTGCTGCAAGCACTCCTGAGGCGCTCTAGTGACTCTCTCAGAGTCTGCCTTTTCAAGGCTTCAAGGCATGAAAGCCTTCTGATCCACCTTAGTGAAATGCTCCCCGGCAGGAGCCTTGAAAGTTGTCCTGACTTGTACCTCCCGGCAGAGGAAAGTTCCGGAACAACAGACAAGAGGTGAATCTCTTCCACGTTCCCCGTACTTGTCCTGAAAGGATGAAATCAACAGGAAAGAAAACCTACAGGCGTCAGACGCGGCTCAGAAGTCACAGGAGACCATATCTTTCGCTCGATCAGACATCGCAAGGGTCGGAAGCCTGGCTAATCCGTCTTGGATGTACAACTTGGCCGCACGGATGCTATGCCAGCGGCCGCGATCGAGGGCTAAATCATAGGAAAAGCTGCGCTGAAAGAGGTCCGTGGCTCCGCCTCTTCGAAGACTGTATGGCCTAAAGCCAAGCCCTTTGACATGGAAAAGGGAACAATATTCCCGAAATCGCTCCCTGAAGGCGGCAGGTGTTCCTTTCCAGATAGGGGCTTGGAGCTCATGTTGTTCAGCCAAAGCAGACAAAAGTGTAGCCACGACCATGAGCACCCAGGGATGTTGTAGTGGGACGAATTCTTCGGCCCCTTTGTTGAACGAGGTCTTGGTATCGTCAAGCCGTACCAGTCCAACGTCATCCCTAATGAGAACGTCAGCCCCCGTCAAATGCAGTAGCTCTCCGGTACGTAGCAAGCCCTCAAATCCTAGGACCAATAAGCTCGCGAAGGTGAGATCACCCCGGTGGATAGCTATAGTGCCGCAAAAGAGAAGACCAGATCTGCCGTAATTGGTGGAGCTCGACATGGTATCTCAAGCCTCCTCCACAAGCGGAACAGTTTCCAAGACTGGGAAACGCGCCCTTTTGCCCAAGGCGTGAAGAACTGGAGCCCGCAAAGCGCACAGGAGACCTGGTATAAAGGGCGACCGGTTTCCCAATAATGCTCGATCCAGGAACTAACTGCTTCGTCAAGTGCCTCATCTGAGGGCAAGTCCCGGATCCACGGCAGCAGCTTGCGTGTAAACCTGTAGTATTGGCTGAGAGTCTTCTGTGAAACCAACCGATCTTTGAGCACAATTCCCTTGCGCTCCCGGGCACGCTCGGCTTTCGACCGGCGCCCTAAGACAAAAGTTCGCGTGCTTCGTCCCATTAGGCACGGGAAGCGTCGTCTGTTGGGTTCTGTGTAGACTCGACATGCCCGATGATCAAATAGATATTAAGCCCTAATAAGATTGCATTAAGCTGTTGCAAAATGTAATTCAACTTTCGCGAACCCGACCTACCTTTAGCAATGACACTCACGCAAACAAAAGAGTCCGTGGCATGGAAAATTCGAAGATCTTAAGCACATCGGCGGAAGACATGAAACTTGAGCGCTAAAAGGATGGATCTAAGCTCGAGAGCATTGATGTGTTCACCATGCCCCCAGCGGCACCGGAACACCGGTACCCAGTTCCACCAAGACGCCTCCACCCCCTGCCGCGGAAAGGCGCGAGGGTTGAGTATATCCCCTGATGCTACACGAATGTCCGACCCAGTGTGATTGACCTTTGTCAAGAGAACACGGTTGAGGTCGTTAACCTGTACTTCTCGACCCAAAGCCAAGTGCCTAAAGCCGTATTGCAGGAACCGACTCAAAGGCGCCTTAGCCCCAAGGGGTGCGCGAAACCCTGGTGAAAGTCCCATCCGCTCAACTAGCCATCCATAGGTCATCTGTGGAAGAAAGTTACGGCACATCGCTGCCCCACAAATCACAAAGGAATAAACGGAGAACGAATCTCCGAGGAGCGAACACCGGATATCTTCGACGGCACGTTCCCCCCTTTGCTTCTGCTAAGAGGCCGATAGACACACTGCCGTGTGTTCAAAGCCGTAGCCCAGCAAGAGTTCCCTCTCGGAAGAGGTCGCTAAGCGCCACCCTGACTCCTGCCAAAACAAGAACTCTGGTGAATACTGGTAGGGAGGATACCTAAAGCTGTCGGCACGCCACCGTGCCAAAGTGGCTTCGGAGCATCTGCGGATCCCCGCCGGCTTCGGAGGGGGTTTGTCCCGTGAGATCGCTTTCATACATGTGGGGAGGAGGGTCCCCTCCTCCCCACCGGGCCAATGCCACCCTGGCTCGACCCACTGCTCGAAACTTGGAAAGGCAGCCTCTGCATGTACTCGCCTCCAATAGGCGTGTTGGGTCACGCGAATATCAGGGAAAGTATTTTCCAGTGCTTCCGAGCACCAAGCGAATCTCGGCCGTCTCATAGGCACTGAGTCGCTGCAATCCAATTCATAAGGCAAAGTATGAAACAAATGGGAGATCTCTTCAGCGGCTTCCCTATCCATGGAGGACACGTTTTCGATGGTGCGCTTGACCTCAACGGTGGGCCCAAAAACCGTTCGCAAGAGCTCCTCTATGCGTGGAATCTCGTGCACCAACGAAGAGGAAGGTCCTTCAAGTCCCTGCCGGTATGCCTTAGCACTGGATAAGTCGACACAAGGGAACCCGGCCCAGAGATGAATCTCTTTAGCCATGGGAAACTCAAGGAGCCAGTCCCTGACCAACTGTCGGTCGACCAGCCGGACATCGGACACGGTCTTCACATGCGGCCATCGCTTCTCAACGATTCGGTTGGCGGGAGCGTATAGCTCCACAGAGATCAACCCCAATGGTCGAATGTCCAAAATATCATAAATCCTGAAACATCCTCCGAAACCATTGAATAGGGAAACAACTAGAATGGGAACTGAACTTGCGTCTCGGCTCCTGGCAACTGAACTCAACACAAAGTCACGACCCTCTACAGTCAACTGCTCTGCCATACCAACAGCGCCACCCCGCATCGAAGCATCCGAAGCGGTGGTAGCTGTGTCGATGCGAGCCCCCAAAAAGGTGTGAATGCATGGTGAGAGCAGGATGAGATTCCAGAGCTCTCTACGTGTCTGCATCACCAATTTTGGAGTGGGATGTGAAGAGCTAATAAACTGCCAAACTTCCTGAAGAATCCCCATAGCGGGCCGTCTATACTGCAAAGCATGAACCCAGCGACCCACAACAATCTGTACCAACTTCTTGCTAAGGAACCGTTGAGAAAGGAGATACAATGTACACTGAATCAACTTAATAAAACGTTCCCCCGAAATCAAGATTGTTTGAGTGCTGCCGTCAATCCAGGCTCCTAGTTCGTGAATAGCTTCAGCGTCCGACACTCGCTTCTTCTTGGATGACACAAGGCCTGAACGGTCCCATGCATCCTCGACACCTTCGTGTAGAGTGCGCCCCGCCTCACAACCCTTGCCAGGGAGACAACGCTGCCCTACGCAAAAGTTGTCAAGATACACGTGCCACCAAGGCCGATCACGAGCGCAACTCTGTTGGACACAAGAAAGTAAATATGGAGGGAGAATATGGCCTCTAGCTATCTGCGTCTCCGGACCAGCCCCCCCGAGGTATGCGACGGATTCGGCCACCTCCTGCATGACCGCCACCGAAGAGATCCAACCCATCGGAAGGACGTTGCAACACAACACATGCACACGATTGTCCTGTACTATCTCACTGCCCTTGAACTTAACATTAAATGCTAGGTACCTATGCCATGCCGACGGCAGCCGAAAGAGGTAAAAGGCGGATGCCATGCAAAGCCCAAGCGACTCTCCCGGCTCGGTCGTGATGCCCAGCCAGGCCGTGATCGATGGTAGCTTCCTGACAGAGCCCACAATCGGAGTCATCAGGGAATTGGTCGGGATGAGGTTCATGATCAACCGCAGGGTTTTCCTGCCATCCTGAAGTGTATTAGACTTCTCGACTCCGAAAAGACCTGAGAGAACTGGTTGTCCACGAAATTCGAACACCTCATCAAGCGGCAACACGAACAGATATTCCTGTTAACCAATTCTCGACTAAGCATGCTCATCTCGGTGTGGGAACAATGAACCTTGGCCTGCAAAGGAGGAAGAACCTGTCCCGTGTCGTCCACGATAAGGAGATTCGGGTGTTCTAAGAGACGTTTAGTACCTGTTGACACAAGCTTCAAAACATCAACCGACCCTCCATGATCACCAGGTGGAAGTGCTGGGAGGACCTGGTCGCATGTCAAAGGGTGGCACACCGACATCTCCTCCCCCGTGTAGGACAGCCTCACTCCTTTTAGCTCATGGCGGATGCGTTCGATCTCGCCAGAGTGGCTCCCTCCGAGATGGAGAAAGCGGCAAACTGACTGGCCCGTTGAAGCCACGGCGCGGCCCTGCATCTTATTGACCGGTCCAAGCGCCAGCGGCTGCAATCGTCCGCGCGTGCCATTCAGTCCAGCCAACGCACAGAACTGCCAGGCGCGATGCTGCCAGCGTTCCCAAAAGCGTGGCTCCTGGACTTGCAACAATTGTGATTCCTGCAATGCAACCTTAAGGCCCTTCAGCTCCCCAAGGGAAATGGGATAGATCGAACCTCTACGCAGTCCGACCTGTGGCGTGCTGCAGCATTCAAAAACTGTTTGTCGTACTGAATCTGTGAAACTCTGTGACTCCGAGAACTCCACATGGACAAGCAACCAGGCTATACTGCACCCTAACACGCCCAGCGTGTCAGTTCCAACAAAAGCCTCGGTGAAGATCTCCAAGCCACTGTTCGTTGCGCCGTGCATTTGCGTCTTGATCAGCTCGGCGTGTGCCAGCTGCTGTACCTCTGAATCAACTGTCACTTGTCGGTGGGCTTTGTGCCCGCGTCGGGGCGGTCCTTCTCCTTGTCCTCGTTCTTCTTCCCCCTGCCTTTGCTCTTCTTGCTCTTGCCCTTGGGCTGCCACCAATGCGTCTCCTCCTCGGTCTGGTCGGAGTACCAACCGGCGCCCTTCTTGAACTTTCCTTTTCCGCGCTGCGGGACCCACAACGCGCTTGGATCCTGAGCCTTTGTCACCTCTCTTCCGTGCTTTCTTGCAGCCAGGAGTATGCTGTCGCTCAAGGCGGAACCCTCTAGCATCGGCATCACCTCGAGGTGTCGGGCGGCTGTCCAAGAGGAATCCAAGAGGCTCTGATGGATTGCCACCAACCTGCCAGCGAGCACGTCTCCCAGCCTTGCCAAATGCCCTTGCCGCAAAAGATCCAAGCTTGTGGCCAACATGTGCAACTCTCGCAACTCCTTTGGTCGGTGCTGGAAATGCGGCTTTATGGACAAAGCCAGGTAGGTGGTGACCTTCACTCCGGAGGTGATGTCTCTGTGACCTGTAGCGGGGGTGTCCACTTCTGCGTTCTGTTGCAGCTGGGCCGCGATGTGCTCGAGGAGCATATTGAGGACTGAGCCCGGTGTCTTCTGCGACTTCTTCCTCAGCGGAGCTTCCATAGCCATCTCGCCATCGGAGGTCTCCGTGTTCTCTGAACAACTCCTCGAACCTGACCCCGAGGAGTCGGTCCGACCAGCTGAACGGGTTCTCTTCCTCTTCTTCTTCTTCTTCTCTTTGGCTTTCCTCTCCTTCTTCTTGTCCTTTTTCTTTTTCTTTTTCTTTTCTCGACTCCGTGAACTGCCTTTGTCCTTCTTCTTCTTGTCCTTCTTGCCCTCCTTGGCGTCCTTCTTGATGTCCTTGCTTCCTGAGGGCGATGGTGACCGGGATCGCTTTTTCAATGCTCGGCTGCCTCCTCCACTGTGATGACCCTTGTCGGCAGCCCCGGCGGCTCTGAGCGCCAGCTGCTCGTGATAACTGGCCGTAGTACCATCTTTTATGGCCCTGCTGGCTGATGTGCTCCTCACTGCTCTCGCCATCAGAGTCCCTGAGTTCAGAGTCTTTGAGGTCGCCTGTGCAGAGGATGAATCGCCTCCGCTCTCCGAGTTGCTCGAGCCCGACCCTGACTCGCCATCTTCGCCCGAGTCCCCCCCATCCGGAGGTGGATCGGGCGGCGTGCCCCCAAGCATCTTGGCCTTCGAACGCTTGAGCTCCTCCCTCAACTTCTCCACCTTTTCGGGGGCGATGGCACCCGGATCGGATGGCTTGACGCCGTCTCCTTTGCCCTTGTCGTGTCGGGCTTTCTGCTTTGCTCTTGCTGAAGCTGTAACCTCTTTCTCCTCTCTGGCCTCTGTCGCCTTGCTTGACCTGCCCTGGCGATCGGCGTCTGCCGGCCTGGACTTGGGTTTCTTCCGTGCCTCTCGGAGGGCACTTGCACGCTTGACCTCGCCTCCTCTAGCCGGTTCTCCCGGCACGGAACCTGGCGGGGCCACACCGGGCTCGACAACCTCCCCTGTGGCAGGCAAAGTGGGATCCTCGGCCCACTTGCGGGCAGGCCTGAGTGCAGAGGCTGTGAGGTAGCTGGCGTACCCTTCCAAGCTGTACCAACGGAACTCCTTCACATGGATGTCGCCCATCTCCTCGTCGAGGCAAGGATCCGATGCGCAGAAATGAAGCCTGCCACGACGCCTGTTGAACAGTTGGGACAACTCCTTGTTGACCGCTTGATCCTCGCCTCCAAGGCTCTTTGCCTCGACCGTCAGCGAACCGTCTGCTCGGTTCAGCTCGACATGCATCACCATGAAAGCCACCCATACTGACTCCTCTCGAGGGTATGAAGTGTCTCTCAAATCCAGTCCAACGATATCGCCTTTCGCTGGCGCGATTGTAAAAGGTCCAGAAGGCTGAACCGATCACCCTCGTAGTGCACTCTATGGCTCATGGCAACCGGTGCAGGCTGTCTCGACCTTTATCGGCCGAGAGGGTATCCAGCACCACAGGCGAGAGCTTGCGATGCACTTTGACGTGAGGCTGATCCTCCAAACGACCAAGACGTTGGTGTTTGCGGCCAGCTCGATGACGGGGTTTGTTGGAGTGGCGTGTACGATGATCCCGACGTCGTCGATCCTGAGTCTTTGTCTCTCCACGCGATGAACGATGTCCACTGCCTCCTTTGCTCTGTAGAGGCGGAGGGGGCCCTGGCGGCTCTGGTGGGCGGCGAGACCTGCTACCGGCCGGCCTGGGCCTGGGATCTTTGGCTTCGGACTCTGACTCTTCCTCTTCCTCGGTCTCCTCTTCGAAAACCTCCTCAAGCTCTTCCTCCTTAGGTTCCCTGGCTGGCTTGCTCTTCGCAGCTGTCGAAGGGTGTGTAGTCGATGGAGCCGATGACCGCTTCCTGACCAACTCTGGCCTCTCAGGGCGGACCTCCTCGCCTTCCCTGGCGCGCTTGCTAGCAGCCTGGGATGCGGCCTGCTGGTTGGAGTGAATCCCCTGTGTGAGATTTCGGAGGAAGCGGATCTGCCTGACCGTGCTCAAGCAAAGATCCTCCGCCAGAGTACGGGCTCCGGCGCTCGGCCACTGAGAGGCCAGCTGTCGAGTGAGAGCCTCAGCCGCGGAGCAGCTGATGCACCAGGAGTCCCCCTCCGCGGGAGGTGCCTGGTGACACTTGCGGCACCTCATCCACGGATTTCCCGCATGAACTTACGTTTGAGCCACGCAGCATGGATACCGGTCGACACAAATTCCTAACAGGAAACATGTGGGTACGAGTCAGATTGAGTGCGATGCATCTTCGGAAGCATGCTCGATGTCCCAGTTGGGGGATCACACGTTGATCATGGCTGTTCAACCCAGTGGTCCCTCCAGTCGGGTGGAGATAGCTCAAAGTAGTCCTGGACTGTGAGTTCTCGCTTAGGCTTACACCACATAACAGGTGCGTTAATTGCCTTTCTTGGGAACTTACTACTAAGGTTTCTAAGGTTTGATCCATTGCTAAGACCCGCTGGTACGTTGTTCCCTTTTCCAGGCTCTAAATGGGGAGACAAGTTACGATTCGGTGGCACTGTTGATTTGTTGGAATTTGTTTGAAGCAAACGCTGTAAAACGTAAGGAAGGACATGAACACGACAAGAATTGCACCGGCATGGGCCCCAGATAGCGCTTTGACACCAAGGCCAAAAATGAGTAGGAGCAAAGGGCATCGCTACTAGGAGCAATGACGCTACTAGTAGCTGCTGGCCTTACTACTAGGAGCAAGAACCTACAGGGCATCGCTACTTGGAATGTGATGGGATTAGGAGACGGGGGCTCCAGTTGCAGGGTTCTGAGCGAAAAAGACTATTGAGAAGCCTGGTCCCACAGTCACAACATTCCAGAGTTCCAGCAGAAAGTTGAGTGGGGCCAAGAACTGCATACAAAGGTCTTTGTTTATGGTGACAAAGTGGTGGAACCCGGTGGAACGAGCAGCAAAGCCTGACACTAGCTGACTCAACTCTGAAAAAGCTGAGAAACCTTGCTGCAAGACTTCAATCAATGTCAAATCCAGAACTCTGGAAAGCATGGTGCGGACATCGTCAGGTCGGACATCAAGGAGTCTCTGATGCAAACTTTGCCGCTCTTTTCGTTTAGCTTCCAATTGTCTTGTCAGTCTGCGGCATGAGTTGTGACTGACTTGAAGGTCAAGCACAAGGTCCTCCGAGTACGGGAGTGCTCCGCGTTCCAATACTGAGTGTCTTCCTTTTTGTCACGCAACAGAACATCGTGTCAAACCACAAAACCCATCCGGCTGGCTTCTAAACCAAATGCCTGGAAATACTTTCAAAAGGTTCGTACGGAATGATTTCTGAACATTGCATTCTCTCCGCGCACCTACCCACATGAATGAACATTGAAAGCGTCTACATGTCTCCTCCTTCTTGTTCTGCAGGTCCAAAGCCGTCCTGGTGTACATTTGCCGCTCTTGCAAATAGGTGTGATAGGTTATCAACTTGCCTTGCGCGAAGAAGCACTTGGGCGGTAAAGCGAGGTTGTTTTTCGTGTCGTGCGGGGAGAGTGCGGCATTTCTGGTTGAAACAATGGATTTCCCTGATGATTCAAGCATGCAGCTTAGGTTTTCTTCTGCAGGCTGCTATGCTTGAACATTGGTAACTTCCAAACTGTGCTCAACCCAAACCATTGACAGAACACCCCACATGTGTGGAAACCTCCTTGATATACCAACCTCGGCTTGAATTGATAGTCCCAGCAACTGTCGGCACGGTTCTCCACGCCAAAAATCATCCAATGTCGAAGAGGTGCCACCAAGTCGCCTTGTGGCAACACGCAGGCACCAGGGATCATGCGAACGATGTAGGCTCTTGTGATGAAACACGATTGTTGACGAAAGAAATCCTGCGCCACTTTTGTGAAGATTAAAATAGCATGGTGCTACTTTTGTTGATCCAGCACCCTCGCACTCCCATTTGACATTGCTTGCATCAAACCTGCAAAGGTCCCATTGATAAAAATTCAGCACCACCTGCCTGCATGACCCAATAATGCTGACTATGACTAGGGGTGTAGGGCTTCTGGTCTGTCTGGATGAGTTATGCGGCAAAGTGGTGCAGAATTTCTTCCGTCAACCGTAGGACATAATGATTTCCCAGTTTGCTCTATTTGGAGCCAACAAGTTAGCAGATGTCAGAACATCTTGATGGAACGTCTTGATGGTGTAGTTTCTGTTTCTTCTGCACTGATCTTTTCAGTCTAGCACACTCCAACTATTTTCGGCTGCCGACTAGTTCTCTTTTTCCTATATTTTTCTTACAATTTTTAAACCTTCTCTCAAGCTTTCTGTTCACTCTGCACCACTTCACGTCACTTCTTTCCACAGCTCCTGCCCCATTCCGCCTATGAGAGTCCGCTCCAGGAGCTCGCCCTTCTTGCGACGGCGTCGCATGAGCACTTGATGCATGAGTTTCCAAACTCCCCAAAGCCAAATCAGTGATGAGCGCCTCAGGTTGCATCTGAGTCAGCTCACTCAGCCCTCTCACCCTCTCACAGTGAGTGGGTCTTCGATTGCTCATGACATGGGGATGGCGGACCTGACTTGACAAACCTGAACGTGATGACAGTGATGCAAAACATGCAAACTTCAAGATCGTCACTACTAAGTGATGCCCGGTCCCAAATCGTACATCGTGGCTATCTTCTTCTAATCAGTGCGTCAAAAAGACTGCCAGCAACTTTGCCTTCAACGTCCAGCAACCCTCATTAACATTGATTTCAACAATTAGCAAACACCCCAGACAAATTCACGCTCGTACGACTGAGCAACAAAGTCGCTGCAAGAAATCCGCCCCCACCGAAGGTGCTGAGGCGTTGTGGAGGCTCGCGTCAACAGCAGCCGGAAGAAATTAGCTAGACTAAATCTTAAGTTTTAGCCTAGGGGGGAACACGTTTCTCCTAGAAATGCAATGTTCTAGTGTTTTTGACAGGTGATTTACAATTGGACCAAGCGCTGGCGATGCCGGCTATGCGGGCCGGATGAGAGCACATTACCGACATCGCGGATGCATGTGCAACCCGGTGGACACTGCATTATTAACATCGTGGGTGCGTTTGGCCGAGTGTCTTGTTTGAGCGGATGAGATGATTGATAGTCGGTGGAGTGGTCTTGTGCACAACGGAGCTGCGCCGGACTGCTGCGGAACCATCTCACACATGGACATCGATCGATTTTTCCGGTCATCGATCTTGTACATCACATGCACAGGTGGCCTGATTGATACAAACAGCAATGACAATTTCCTGGGAGCCCGTGGAGCCAAAGAGTCGGAGGATGCGGGGCTCGGCAGAGTTCAGCAGACACTTTGAAAGCTCTTTGAGAGGCGGCCAGAAGACATCCGGCCTTTCCTGAAAGATGCGCGTGCTTGATTTGTGCACAAAATTGTCCTGGTGTCGCAGCCGTGCTTGGTGTGGGAACAGGTAGCTGGGGCACTGAGCACCGCCGTCCTGTTGCACTTGGTGTTACAACAGCAAGATGCTAGAGCTAGAGCCGCTAGATGTTGTAGGAAGGTTTGTTCTAGACCTGGTCATGGAGTTCCACCCCTGATAGTCCACGCCATCCAACATTTCTACCACGTCGCTCAAGCGATTGTTGCAAGGGGATACGCAGGGAAACTGCAAGAACCCTGTGTGCAAAGGATGGTGATTAGATAGGGCCATAGCGACAAGTCAACGCTTCTTCACCCTTGAACCTGGTTAACATTTCCTCCCGGCTCCGCGAGCACAAGTTGCTACTTCCCGTATCCTCGTGGGGTGCTAATAACACAATTTCCCTTTACTCTGCGCGGGCGACTTCGACCGTGAAGCAGTGTGAATACGAAGAGGAACACCTCAACATCACCTCAACCTTTCTCAACCTCTGGCAACCTGGTAGTAGCACCTCCATAGGCCAAGCGGCCCAGATCTTCCGGCCGCAAGATCATGTGCAAAGCCTTGGTAAACAAGGACTCTGAACACTGAAGACCCCGTTCTCTGTCATCAAAGGAACAGCTGACAATTTCATCGTTGAAGTTGTAGAAATCAAGTGTTTCTTCAGCACAAGGCCTTTTTTAGATAAGAGCAAGCCACGCTCTGCAGCCACATCCAAGTTCTCCTTGGGCACCTCTGCCATGTCCCCTGGATCATCCAAACAGAACAAAATCACAAATTTCTTATATACCTCAGTCCTCAGTCTGTCTGGAACACTACGGATGTCAGAATCATCCAAAAGCTCCGAGCACGGGCTCCCCAATCTAAATATATTGTATACATACTGTATACGTGTGATACTTGACTAAAGCAATAGCTGTCTCGGGTAACCTTCCTGGCGAAAGCCGCTAACCTGTGTGAAAACGACCTTTACAATCTTTCACCAATCGTCTTATCATCACCCTTGTTCCCTGCAACTTTGCCTGGCTCGTCCTCCTCTTGTTGGCTCCTCGCAAGTGGCACTGCCGGCAGCTTCCGCAAACCGTTTACCTGCGAGGTTCGTCGCTTCTCGCCGAGGTCCATCAGCAGGCCCTGCACCTACCAAAGAATGCGGTGGCGACTGCCTCACCCTCACCCTGGAGAAACAAAGAGACCGTGCTACCAAACACCAAGCCATGCTCTTCCGCAGCAAACCTATCATCATTCACATTCTACCGCTAGTTTGCCGACAAGAAAACTACGTTTAAGAGTCATCGCGCAAAGTCCTAGTATGATGATGACCATGGGGCTTGGAAGTTAATGAACTGACATTGATTCTAGGTCAGAGAGGTGATGATCTCACGATCTCAAGATTATCGTCTCCTGGTGCCTGCACGCGAATCTTCTCAAATCTTTGACAACGCTTTATGACGCCCTCCATGGATATGATCGTGCGCTTCAATTGAAGCAGCCGAGAAGACAGCCATTGGTGGCCCACCTTGGGTTGCGCTGTTTACAACCGTCCATGCTGAGCTCAACTTTGACTCCTCGGACTTGGTGGATCTAAACTCCAAAACAGAAACTGTCAGTTTGAGGTACAAACTCAACGACTCCTCCGCTAATGCCGCTAACGTCACACCCAATGGGAATTTTGACTAATGTCATGTCTCATGCTTCTGGAGCACGCCGCCCGTTTGACTGCAAGATCAAAAAAGTAATGCCTAAGTTACTAAGTCAGCAAGCAAGCCGCCATGCTTTCCAGTAAACGCCATTTTGATTCCGCAGTAACGACCCTATTTTTGTATTCAGTCTGTGCACTTCCCTCCTGGGAGTGATGCCTGGTGAGTGGTGTGCACGTGTATGTCCTGGTGTTTTTTCCAATCTGGCTGCTGTTGCGTTGCAATTCCTGGAGAACGGCTACACAAACACCCCGAAACAGGATTCACCTTCTACTTGACTGAAATCACCTAGTCCGGAAAAAGAAAATACATTAAAAAAACATCAAAAACACCGGTAGAACAAGGTTGATCTTGATAAAACCAAAGATTGGGCCAAAGAGTTCCGTATTTTCTCCAAAAGGTGCGATGCAGCTGGTGGCTGGCAAACGACTCATTTGCAAAACCCTGTAGTCCCACAAGAAACGCTGTTGCCGTGCCCAGGTACAAAATATGGGGTTCGTTGAGCGTCGTCCTCAGCTAAGCGGGAGATTGCATCGCGGACAATTCTGCGGGGTTCAAAGAACAGCCGAAGTGATTCAAAACCCCAAATTACTGATTACAGTATGAACCTGAGCATTTTGATCCAAAGTCCATTGAAGTGGCAGAATTGAAAAGTCATCAAAAAAACATAATTTCTGCTCAGAGTCAGGGTCAATGTACGTAGAGGGTTCCACCAAGCGAATCAACGGCAACAGAACTGGCCTTTGTCGCTCGAACTGAGCATCTTTTGCAATGGCCATCAGGAAAGCCAAAGCTGCATCGATGACATTCCTGAATTGGTAAGACTCGTGCGAAAAACCAATCAAAAGTGGCTGATGTCTGTCGAGGAGGCAATTATTTTCACGCAAATGCTGCTTGAGGCGCTTGTGCGACTCCGCTTGCTTTTCGATGCTGGCTGCCAGCACGTGCCACTTTCCTTTCGCTGAAGTTCTTGAGACTTTACCATCGTCTTCAACATGTTGTTGGGCCACCAGTTGGTGCCTGTCTTCGAAGCCGACAAGCCACATACAGCCACCCTCACCCACCCTCCTGCCACAAGAGTCCAAGAACAAGGTTATGAGTTATGAGCTATTACTGGGCCGATCTTTTTTCACAGTGACTCAAAGGCCCTAATGGCCAAAATGTTGCGGTGCCAAAGAAAATTGTCCATACTATATACACTTGACTCAGTTGTTCACAACTTGGTAATTACTGTCCTTCGAGTGATCCCCACCATGACATTTCATACAGCCACGTTGACATCACCCTCGTTGTGTATTTCAAGGCCCGAACCGGGGAAACATCCAGGGCCCGAGCAGTAGTAGTAGTAGTCGTCGTCGTCGTCGTAGTCGTAGTAGTAGTAGTAGTAGTAGTAATAGTAGAAGTAGAAGTAGTAGTAGTAGTAATAGTAGTAGTAGTAGTAGTGGTAGTAGTAGTGGTAGTAGTAGTAGTAGTGGCAGTTGTAGCAGCAGCACCAGCAGCAGCAGCAGCAGCAGCAGCAGTAGTAGTAGTAGTAGTAGTAGTACGTAGGTAGTAGTAGTGGTAGTAGTAGCAGTAGTGGTAGTGGCGGCAGTAGTAGTAGTAGTAGTAGTAGTAGGAGTAGGAGTAGTAAGTAGTAGTAGGAGTAGGAGTAGTAAGTATAAGTAGTAGTAGTAGTAGTAGTAGTAGTAGTTGTAGTAGTAGTAGTAGTCGTAGTGGTGGTGGTAGTGGTAGTGGTAGTGGTAGTGGTAGTGGTAGTAGTAGTAGTAGTAGTAGTGGTAGTAGTAGTAGTAGTTGTTGTTGTAGTAGTAGTAGGTAGTAGTGGTGGTAGTAGTAGCAGTAATAGTAGTGGTAGTAGTGGTAGGAGGAGTAGTAGTAGTAGTAGTGGTAGCAGCAAAGTCGCATACACGCTCATCCTATTCCCAGGCGTCTACCCAGTCAATCTTCGTGGATCTCAAAATTCAACTCAACATTCTCGGCGCGGTAAGTCGGATTCATGTTCTTGGTGACGGCAACGACGTAGCTGAGAAGCACGGCGCATGGGCTCTCAAGACTGGCATCGCGCAAGTCAGCCTGCAAACCAAAGTTGGCAGCGCAAGCATCTGCAGAGCATCCGCACCGTTCCATAACGTTGGTGCTCTGGATTCAGGCGGGCCCCAAGGGGCCAGTCAGCATGTTTGGAGTGACTGCATCAGCGCCAAAACGCCAAACCAAACCAGCATCTAGGTGCTTGAGCCGGCCCTGGCTCTTTTTACGGGTCAAAGGCCCGCTATTCTTCAGAGGGTCGTGCCTTTGCATTCGTGAACTTTGTTGAAAATTTTCCCTTCTTTTTCCATCTTGTAATTCTTGATTCTTGCGCTTCAAATTCGCGCCTCATCACAAAGGACAAGCTCGCCAGCACCATTTGGAGGCGAAGTGCAACTGCTGGCCACTGCGTCGCCAGATTCACAACGGGCCTCAATCTTAGGCTGGTCAACACCGGAGCCGGTGTCTTCTTCCAATCCAGCGCGCGCTTTGTTGGGGAGAGGCGCGCTACCACACGCGCTCAAGAGTTCTCCTGAGCAGGCTCGTGCTCAGCAACTAGCAAGCGAGTAATTGGTACCGGTATGTTGATGGGCAAGTTGGCCCGACTCTTTTTGCCCTGATCTGACAAGTTCACAGGCCCTTCCGCCCGGAGCGGAAACACGCTCTTCTTGATGAGTGCAACCAACAGCCGAAGCGCGAGACACAAAAAGCCTCAAACCTTCCCAACACCGTGTGAACTAAGGTCAACCTCTCTACTACTAAGTCTGCCTCTGTCTTCTTCTGTGGTCTCGTTGATTTGGATGATGAGTCCTTCTTCCTCTTCTTCGATAGGGCTTCCGTCGATTGAAACACAGGCAACCCATCATCATCCAGCCCTTGCTGTTCCTTGTCTGAGACAAGTTCTTGTGATTGTCCTTGTATCTTCTGGGCCTTCTCACACTCTGGCAAAGAGTCGAGTGCCATCAGGGCCATCAGGGTCCTGAATTCCCCGTCGTCGAAGCCTGTCGGGGCCCCGGTATAGATGAGGCGCGGTCTTGCCTCCAAAGCGAAGACGAGCCACAAACATTGCAAGTTCGGTCTGTTGTGCAGAGTGGCAATGAAGCGCTCCCTCCGGGAGAATGGACCACTGAGGATCCGGGTGAACCTACCAAGTCAAGTCACCGGAGTCTCAGTTCGAGCTCCGTTACCAGTATGAAACTGGTTGAGAACGGCGGTCAGGAAGCGATATTTTTTCCACAATGACTCAAGGACCCTAAGAGCCAATTATGGCGGTAAGAAGGAAGATTCTCAAAACAGTTGACTCACTCGTTCGTTCACACCCTGGCGTAAACCCCAAGAGGCCTCAAAGTCGGATGGCATATACGCCATGAGCACAAGCAATCTAATTATTCAAAGGTGTTGCAGAAAAAAACGATGCAAAAAAAAAAACTTTCTCCTTTGCCAAGCAGGATGCGTTAGCAGCAGACAGCGTGGCTTTGCCAGTGGCTTGGCATCTGCGCACAGCACCCGCAGTGACTCTGGCCCACGCCTTCGGCGGCTTGGCCAGGTCCGACCAGCAGTCCCCGTCGATGGTCGGGGAAGACTGAGAGGCCCAAGTGGCCCTGGAGGCCCAAGAGGGCCCAGCCTGGTCTGTTGGCTGTGGGGTCGTGCCATGAAGGCAACATGGCGATGTCCGAATAAATACCGAAGAGATCTGAGCACTCCTAAAGATTCAGCACAGGCTTCGCAAATACATGTCGCAAACGAAGCAAAGGTTGTAAAAAGGCAAAAAGGTGGTGCGCAAACTGCTGAGGGGCTAGGGGGCTAGGAATGAAACAGCAAAGGCAGATCTGGGCAAGGTGTCGTGCTGTTATCTTGATATTTGAGCCAAGTTCCGGGCTGAACAACAGGAATTAAGAATGTCTGCTTTAGAACTTCCTGAGCTTCCTGAACCAAAAATGGTTTTGAAGGCTGCCAGTAGATCCTTGAGAGCTCTTTTGCACTGTCAAACAGTATGGCTCAAACAAAGTCGTGGGTTCTTCCAAGCACTGCTCTGAGTGTTGAATCTAATTATATATTGAATTGTTTGAACCAAATTCCAGGAATCTGAAGTTCTGTTCAAACCGAAACTGATGATCATCGCTGGCGCTTTTCCTGCATCACAAAGAAAGCAGCGGTAACACTTTGCCCGCCGCGCTCCACGGCCAGGTAGGACCTGGGCCATCGTACCCAGAATTGATTGTCAGAGGCGCTCAGCTGCAAACATAAATATCTTGTCCACTAGTAGCGATGGCCTCCACGCTAGTAGCGATGGCCTCCGACCCAATAGCGATGGCCTCCAACCATGGATTCGTGATCACTACCTGCACAAAAGGAACAGAGACGCCTCAGGAAGAACATCAATGCCTCAACTCGTGAAAGGATTCCTCCTCTTTCAAGTGCAATGTGAAAGTTGAGCGGGAAGACAATAGGAAAACTGCTCGGATATGTGCACACGCCCTCTGCTCGAGTGAGATGAACCAACACCCAGCCAAATGTTGAGAAAAACCTGCAAAATGTGGCCAGCACACCCAGCCAAAGACCAAAGGGTGCACAAGCTGCTGCCTCAGTGCGAACTGTAAGGCTGTGGAGGCTTCTGTCCAAATATGCAGTGGGAAAAATGTGGAATCAACTCTTACACTTCGTGCTTGACAAGCTGGTTTAAGAATTTGGGTTGAGTCATGTCTGAGGCTTTGGCACTGGCCTTGTGGCTGCATCCGCCTCGCACCAAATGCCATGGGCAAACGAGTTTGGATTAGCAGAACATGTCTTCGGATGTAAACATATCCTTTTTCAGTGCACACCCACGCACCAGCGGTGGGAGCTTCAAGCAAATAATGTTCAGTAAGTTGAAGGTCCAAAGTCCAAGACATTTGTTGTGCACAGCATCTTTGAGCCTTGGTTCCCCTGCTTGTGACAATCCTAACAAGGGCCAAACCACTCTTGACCTCTGGCCTCGTTTGCAGCAAGCTGCTCTGCATGAGGATCTGGCAGGCCTGCGTGTGCTTCTTGGCTAGCCTGCAGTGTCAAAAAGTGGAAGCAAATCTGGACGGTTTTTTCGCAAATGACAAGTGGAGGTTGCGCTACCACAGGCAGTGTGAACTCTCTTTGCTGTTGACATCTGTAGACTCTCAGCGGGCCTGACGTTTTCACAAATAGAAGGGAAGCAAAAAGAGAAAGGAAGTGTCCTTGGCCTTACTAAAGGGATTTCTAGGACCTTGATTCAAGGGCCCCTTCAGTTTCTCCATTTCCTTCTTATGCGTTGTTCAAAAAGAGCACGCTGCGGCATCTTTAGGCGTCTTTAGCATATGCACAGCCTCTTTCTGGAGGTCCTCCTGGCCTCGGTGAAATGGCCCCCCTAAGAAAACAAAAAATGAAAAGGCAATTTCAACTGTTGTTTGCCACTTCGCCTACCTTTGCATGCCAACACTTAGGGTGGCCACTGCAAAATGACGCGACTGCTTCCATATCCCTCACCCAACCCAAAGCCACACCCACACCTTCGGTAACCACTTATGTGATGGCCAAAGCACCCATCTCTTTGGCAGCAGCATCCCTGGGTTCCGCTCATATTCAATCGCTCGCTGGTCCCGAGAAAGACTGTGTTTTTTAATGCACCTCCTAAGCACCTCATGGAACTACATCTACAAGATTCTACAAGACTGTCAGTATGCAATTCCTCTGACTTGTGCCAGCAAGTAGAATGACTCCTTGAATTCCAATGATGTTGGCAACGTCGGCAATTATATATTCCTATAGCCTCCAGCTGTTTGGGAACAACATCTAAACAAGAATGGTTTGAAAACAGTTGAAAGCAATAGTTCCTGAGTCCCGGGTCACATGTGCAAAGCCGAGGGGATGTATGATATATTCATGAGAAAATCCGAGGATGGTATCAAAATTTGAAATGCTGTAGCACTGTCTGTTGCATTCATAGCCACAAGAAAACATACCCAGACAAGGCGGTGGAGAAAGTTGTCGGCCAAGCAGGACTGACAAACCCGGACAAGGCTTGGGCAAGGGAGAGAAGGCAGGGTCCGCGGCGCGGCCACACCTATCATCACCAGCACAGGAAGACGCCAAACGGTCAAGGGGAGGGCACCAGGATGACAAGAGAAGGCAGGATAAAAAAGGACAAGAAGAGGACAGCAGGACAACACCCGGAGACAAGGCTCAAGGGCGCAGCCAAAGACTGTGGCCAGTGTTTCTTCCTGAGAGAGAACCCCAACAGTAAGCTGTTTGGTGAAAAGGAAACAAGCATTTCTTTTATCCCATCCTGTTTATCCCATCGGCATTTCTTCCTGAAAAATTAGTGCGTCGGCATTGGACCAATAGTTCAATTAGTACAGAGGCTATTCAGATTGAACTGGCTTACATGTCTGTGTGTATGTGTGTCGGCACCAAACAGGACGAATCTGCTGCACTGATTCAGTCAAGGTGCCCACCTGACCGGAACCGTGCGTCATGGGCAGCCAAATTCACTCTGTCCGGCAGCACCCCACCAGCCATTTCAATAGCCTGCCCAGGAGTTGGGTCGCTACAGCATGTGTACATTTTCCTAGGTACACAAGAAACACAGCTGAACGTGAAGAAAGTACAAGAAATGCAGTGGGAACAGTGGGAAAACAAGGATCGAACAAAGCTACAAAAGGTCTTTGTCTCAGGTGGAGGCTATCGCTATTAGGTTGGAGGCCATCGCTATTGGGGTGGGGGCCATCGCTAGTAGGTTGGAGGCCATTCCTATTAAGTTCCTTTGTCTTTGTCTTGTTCCAAGTCTCTTCGGGCCTTCTTGGCCGCATCCTCGGCGATGTCTTGAGCCTTTTGAGCCGCCTTCCCTGCAAGCATCGCGCGATCAGCATGCCAGCCTGAGCTAGACCAGGTCCGAGCTACAGCTGAGTTTGACTCTGGTTTGGTGAGTGGCTTTTGTCGAAATTCCTCATCCTCATCAATCTTGATGACTTGAATGACTTCCAAATGCAGAAGTTCAAGTTGCTCTTGTGGCAAGTTTTCACAAGCCTTTGCCTTTCTGCCGCGGGTTGGGGGCAGGATGACAGTGATAAACAAGGCTCGTGGCTGATACACCGCTCTGCAACTGTATGTGCGGCTTATGTTTATTTGTCTGGGGCCCTTGTATTTTTTGGTATTTACAGTAGATGCTTCTTAGAAATGCATTTCTGGATGTATCAGATCTCATGCGTTTTCCCTAGTAGGATGCTTGCGCCGCGCGTCTCACTACAGCGAAACGCACATTTTTCATCGGAGTTCACGTAAAAGGGGCGGCATACAGTATCAGCCGCGTGCCATAAACAACACAATTGAATCAAAGATCACACCATTTGAATCAGATTCCGTGGGCAATCATGTCATTTCGTAGTGAGATACGAGCGGAAGAGCCACCAGACAGATCTGACAAAGCAGAAAAAGCATCGAACACGGTCCATTAGACTGCTGGACAAGCAGTAAACATCAAATTGTTTTTTTGCCAGACCGCTCACAAGCATCAAGAAATATGGAAGGACACATGGAAGGACACACTTTCCAACTGACAAAGGTTGGCTAAAGAACGTGAAATTGGAATGAAGGAGAAGCTCAGCTAGGCTGAAAAGCTGCAAAGCAGGCGAGATATAATGTACTCTCAGTTGTTTGCAAGCCTTAAGAGACTTGTTCGCCAAGTAGCGTACTCGGTTTATCCAATGCTGCAACGCCGCATCTCCAACTGATGGTGCAGTGGCTGGTACCTTGGCTCGATTGTGACGAATGTGCTGGTATGCAATGGATCATCATTATTAAGGTGGAAGGAATGGATGATAGTATATATAAATATATATATATATGATTGATGTTTAATGAATGAAGCTCGTCTCGACAGTTCTTCTATGCGTGTACGTGTATGTGATAACAAACAAAGGAAATGCGGGTATCTATATATCTACAAGGTAATTGGGTTTATGTCTTTACCGCTCTGAAATCCCGGTTGGCTCCGAGATAAAGAAGCCAGATTGAAAGAGTGCAAGCATAAAGTCATGGGCTGGCCAGAATTCCAAAATGCTCCACCAAAGATCCAAGTAAGTATAGGCATAGGCTTTGAAGAAAAGCTTTGGGCTGTCTGTCTTCCCAATGTTGTCCACGTCAACAAAGCAAAGAAAAACAGAAAGCAAAACCAAGATACATGTTCCACCATCAACGGATCCAGGACATGTGGAGGCCGGCGCCAAAGCAGCTGTTCACCGCCCATGCTTCCCGCCATGACAACCGGTGCGAACGTCCTCTACACATCTCAACATCGTCGCCACAAATCGCTACGTAGGCGTCAAGTGACTCGCATGACGAGGTTTTGGATGCGTCTGTTGTTCCACTTGGTTGACCAATCAGTTGATTTATTTTGGGAGCGTGTACCAACCTTCCCTGCCTTCCCATGTTCCTGATGACAATTTTCTTGAGGTAAAAGCTTCGCAAGATTGTGATTGAGTGAGCTTGCTGGGAAATAAACAAAAGGCAGCATTGCGCCACAGAAAGGTTTGTCTGAGGCATGTTGAGACTCCTGCACAGTCTCTGGCACCCAGCCACTTGTTTTCAGTCCTCTATACATACACTTCAAAATCAAGATTGAAAAACGCTCACATTGATGGGCCTGCTTGCAGACCAGAGTTCCCCGCAAGGCGCAATTGCATGTTACTGACAAGTCATCAAGTGCTGCTTAAGATTTGACTCATGATTGTGGCTTGCTGCAAAGCTGTTTGCGCAACAAGCGAAGAACTTGGCTAGCAAAGTGCACAACTGCATCAGATCTCATGGCAAGCACTTGCAGTTTCAGCATTCAGCTGTCTGTCTTGGGATTTCTGCACTTACATGCAAAACCCTGCCACAAGTAGTTTTCTTTCTGACCTTTGGGCTGAGAAAGTAGGAAATGAAGCCTTCCATACTTGCCTCCCACCAAGACCTTCGCCGCCTGTCGCGTGAGCGAGAGGCATTGCCAGGCTCAAGCGGAGAAAACTTGTTCAAATCTAACGAGCCACAACTTGCATTCGCAAGTGGCCTTGAAGGAGAGGCCACGTTTTGTGGCACACTGGAGACAGTCTGAAGTGCCGTCTTTGCTGGGACCAATGGGGTCAGCAGTTGTTGATGCAAAGAGGAAAGGCCACAAAATGCTCCAGAAAATTACACCAACATCGACCCAAACAGCAGCGGCAGAATGATGTTTCTTTTTACAGTGAACTGTGAAAGCTTTTGTCGCCAGTTTTGAGCCATGATAAACAAACGAGACAAAGCAAGACAAAGCAGAATCATTTCAGCCTGAAGGGCCATGAAACACAAAGGGCAACAAAGAGAGACAACGGCAATCATCTCAGCCCAGCATCCAGAAGAGCCATGTGGAGACAAAGGATGCAAAAAAAGACAAAAGGCCAGAAATCATCTTGGCCCAGGATCGTTTCTATGCAAGAATTGAGTACCCCTCACATCAAAGCTGTTTGGGAAAAAAAAAGAAAACAGGCATGTAGTTCAGCTTTCAAACTTTTGGCCTTCAGGCATTTCATCCTTCTCCTCGTGCATCTCCAGCCGTGGTTTCAACGTGTGTGCCTACTGGCATTGCTATCTTGAAACTCCTGCTTTGTCTTCGCAAGGATAGGGGCCCAGTAGTTGATTCCAAACATTGAGTTCCATTTAAGTTGGGTCTGGGCGCAGCACACAGGTACATACTCTATCACTCAGCCCTTCTCAGCACTCTTCAGCAATCTTCGAAGATAGTCTCTCCTCGTATCTCTCCTCATGTTGGAGCGCAAAGGAAAGGAGATGACTATGTGTAGAAGGACACGCTCAAATTGAAACTTGTAAAGACAAAAGATCTATCTAAAGGAAACATGACTAGGAGCATTATGTTCTCGTGTCTGAGGAATGCTTATTGTGGTCACATGCACCTTATTTGTGAATAAGGCAAAGTTTCATTTCAAGCAACTGATTCATAACAAAGAAAGAAGGGTCTAAAGGCCTGAAGGTCAAATGAGGAAAAAGTGTACCCATTTGCAAAGTGCAGGGTTGTCCTGTTTTCTTTGTGTTCTTTCTGTGAAATGCTGCCATGCTGTGCACAATTCAAATTACAGCTCTGCAGTGTGCAACCGAAGATACCTGTCCGTGTTTGGAATGCGAGCGTGAGCGGGAGCGCGATGACGAGGCCAGGCTGCTCTCATCATCCCTGCCCGACAAGCCCCAAATGGATAATAGTCTGGCTATACTCATTGTATACTCATTGTAAGAGCCTCCAACCTAATAGCGATGAACCTAATAGAGATGGCCTCCAACCCAATAGAGGCTATTAGCGATGGCCTCCAATAATCTGGCTATACTCAATGTTCCAATGCCATGGTCAAGAAAGCGCTAATACAGCTACAAAGGATTTACAACTGGCAAAATCAGAGATCAGCTACTCCAACACATCATCTGACTCCTTTCTCAGTACTTCTTATTGTGCTTGTCCCATCATTTTCTCCCACCACTGTAAACAACATAGATCGATTGAACCAGCTGCGGCGTGCTGATTCGTCACGGTGGCCACAAGTTCGTAGATTGCCCCGGTTTCCTCGTGTCGTAGCTTAGGACCTTCCCACCCCCGAGGTCGATCGGACACCTCACCAATTGCTCAACAGTCAATCTTCGACAGGTTCCAACGAAGAAACACAACATAACACGACGACTTATGTACCAATGAATCTTTAAGGGACTTGCCTGCACAACACTCACATCAAGAATGTCGGAACATGTCGGAACTGCACCTCCCAAAAACTCCAAGAAACTTTCGTGAGGACAGCAACCTCACCAACCCTCACCAACCCTCACTACCCCCATCAACATGGTGAGTTGGTCCTGCGAGACGAATTTCCGAAGGTCGACAATGTCTTTGACTTTGGCATTGTTCGTACCTGCAGGATTTAACGCTTCTTTGGTTAGAAGGAACAGTTGTTTGCATCACCTTTCTTGGATATATGATATGTTGATCACATCTTGCTAGGGTCATTGCTGTGTGTTGTTTGCAGGAGGGCGCGTTTGAAGCCAAAGCTTGCTGTTTCAAGTCAGTTCACCTCTCTTCACCTCTTCATTTCCACTCAGCTTCAGACCTCTCAACTCCAAAATGGCTTCCATAAACTCTGCAAAGGACAACTCCCTGCCACAAATGCCAGATCTGATTTGCCAGGCACCGTGAACAAAAACTGTTCAAAGCCAACAAACAAATGTCCTTCTTGGCAAAACTGACACCATACTAACGAATGTTTCATCAACAGGTGAAAAGAGTTGTGGTTCACTTGGCATCCGCTATTTGAGCCAAGGAAATTTATCCTGGAACTTGGAACAAGAAGTCGCCCTGAAGAGCCGGCGAAAGTGACTTACTTTGAGCACAGTCCCACACCGACACAATCTGAAAGAAATACTCCGACAGGCCCAAATGCTAGCTAGTACTCCCATCGCTCTAAGTTCTTGTTTGCAGGAGACATGTCTTAACATGTTTGACCTAACCGAAGACATTCTTTTTCCGTGACTGTGTGCTTCTCAAGGCACATGCTGCCCTCATTTCCGAAGAGCACATCCTTGGTGAGGAGAAAGAATCCATGCTCTTGAAACGCCAAATTGGGAGGCATCATTGTGAATCAGCCACGCAAGGACAAATTCCGTTATCACCACTCCAAAATCTCTGGACAAAAGTTGATACAAGCTGCTCGATAATCCACCAGGCCAACCACGTCCACCCCTGAAGCGAGCAAAATGTGGACGGTTCCCTCCAAGAATAAATACTGTGGGGAACGACAACAAAACTAAAGAAGTGCTTACCTCCAAATAAAATATGGAAACCATCTGTTCCAGCTACTGTGGACAGCATTGTGATGCACAACGATCTAAGATAGTTTCGAGGGATTGATTCGAACTGGCACTCCGACCCGTACAACTGCAATCTTGCTGAAACCATACAGCATGCGCAACCCCCACTCTTCTCTCACTCCCCGCGCCAATGTTCATAAGAGCTTTGGCAGCTTCTGGCTTGGAGAGTAGGGTATCAAACTCCTTGGGTGACACTCAAAACACTTCAAAGTCACAAACTGGAGACGCCTCAGTAACCTGCGCCTGAATGCAAAAGGCTGGGGCTGGAAGAACTTTTGTGTCGGACAATGTGGCTGGTTTTGGAACTACATCCAACACAAATAATTCGTCTGTCCCGTCTGAAGTGTAAGGCAACGGCTTCTTTTGAGATCCTGTTGTCACCGTCTGCGTCGAGATTCATCTTAGTGATCATGTCCTGGTGACGGCAACAAGTCCGTCTGACCTTATCTAGACACTTTCACAGCTTCAAGCACAATCCCCGACATTTAGCCAAGGCAAGGAACAGGTCTTGAACGATGGACCGGATATCGTTGACTATCTTGTTGATGAGGTGCTTTGGCTGCTTTTGTTAGAACCCTTGATTATCCGGCACAGGAGGAGGCAGGACTGGCCTGGACCAGCCTTCAATCGTGAATCCTTTGAGGAGAACCTTCAGCTAGCAAAGCTTTGAAATACACAGGGCCTACTTGCACCCTTCCACCAGCCCAACAAGTACGTCTTCCGGGCTTTCAATGCCTACAAGAATGAGAGCATTGACCGGCAGATTGGCGACCTAACCTTTCAGGTGATTACAAGGCACTGGACAAATAACTGCTTCGAAAACTCGCGAGCCTTGGTAGGTGGCTTGAGCGGTGATCGTGTCACGAGTTCCAAGGCACGTGCACATCTGGTTCCTGCGTAACACCTTGCCCTTCTTTTTGCATTTTGGAATGGCAAAGAACCTAGTAGGCCTCGATTCGCCAAAAATCTCTACAGAGAAGCGAAGAGGAAGACTGCACATCAAAACAGCTCTAGCTGTGTCCTACTCACCACCTTTTTCACTCAGTCTATCCTCACACAACGCACCTCACTGGCTGCGGTACCCACTTTGCTCGAATCGACTGACGACCTGTGGGGCGGCTCGCTGTTCTTGAGGCTCCTGACGCGGCGCACAGGTGCACACAAGAAACTCCCCGCTCTGCTGACCGCGTCCGCCACACGGCTTGAAATCATCGATTGAAAGTCGCTTCCATCGCCTTTGCCCTTGTCTTCTCGTTCACCACCCTTACCTTTCTTTTACCGGTCGCTTTGCCTTAGTCTTTGCCCTGCACCCTGTCGATCTCCATCTTGTCCACGTCAGTCTTGTTGTTTCTTTTGCGGGTTCTTTTGCAGGATGGGGCGATTTCAGCGCACGTCGTTCTCTGGCACATCACCAGC